TGGAAATGCCAAAGATTTGTCGCGAAAGTATGGACATGAGTTTGTGACCTCGACCCGGGAAGACCGCTCAAAAACCGCTCAAAAACCGCTCAAATCTTGCTTGAAAAACCGTTCAAAAATCACCGCAAGAAATGAGCGGTTTTTGAGCGGTTTTTGAGCGGTTTTTTAAGCAAGATTTGAGCGGTTTGAGCGGTTTTTCCAAAAAAAACCGCCCAAACCGCTCAAACCGCTCAAATCTTGCTGGAAAACCGCTCAAACCGCTCAAATCTTGAGCGGTTTTGAGCGGGATCTCGACCCGGGTCTCCACTTTAGCGAACAGTTGCTCTCGCTCGTCTACGACTTGCTTTTCATTGCGAGTACCCCCTCAGCAAAACTTTAATCTTCGTCATCATTTTCCAGGGATATTATTTCCATCCGTAATTGTCGGAATGAAAAGTAAGTTTTTTGAGTGAACAATTGCTGCATCCAAAAGAAGTCTTCCGTCTAACGATCTTTTAGAGAAAAAGAATTCAATCGCAGGCTCTTTTGCAGTTTAAGGAACCATTCTATCATGTTCAATCAAATAAAAGTGGGAAGGGTGACGTAGTAATGACACTGTACAGTCCATATAAACTGCAAAACACAAGCTGAGTAAACAGTTTATTCACTTATCACTGTGATAATGCACGTTGGAATCCCTCAGGCGGAGGCTGAATAATAAGCAGAATGGTCAAAGTGCAGAATGGGTCCAAGAGCTGAAAAACAGAAAAATATGGACTGGATTTACTTAATAATCCCCCCCCTTTTTTTTGAAAGGGGGTAGATTGTTAAGTAGATCCTATTAACTTACAATGGTTTATAGAAGCTAATTGATTAAAAAAACAATTATTATAATCTTCAAAAAATACCAACAAAACGAACAAATTATGAATGAACTGACTAATCTCATTAAGTTTTTTAATTGATTTTTTTTAAGTTCTTGAATAAATTACTCAAATTATTGACATTTCTGATAATAAATTTACCGATTAGCTTATTAAAATTGATATTTTTCTGTTTTTCTGCTCTTGGACTCATTCTGCTCTTAGACCGTTCTGCTTATTGACTGGCCACCGTCTCAGTCGAAGGACCGAATGGGCGAAAAGAAAAATCAATCGATCATAATTCATAGTATTCCTAAGTTTGGAGAGAAAGCTTGAAAATCTCAAAGAAAGTAAACATTTCCAGGGATTTGGCCGAACAAGAACGGCATATTTAGGCAAAATTTTCCAATTGTCACTGACCGCCGTCAAATTGAAACAAATTTTATAATTCAAGAGTTTCGTTTTAAAAGAAGCAAATATTGCTTCATTTGATTATTTTTAGTTGAACGGCGATTGAATCATTTTATTGGCTATCGCTTGTTCTTGTTTTTGGACTTTCGCCTATGAGTTTTTCGCCCATTCGGTCCTTCGCCCATGAGAATAGCCCCCATAATACACAGATGGAAACGGAAGAGCAAAGGCCGCCTCCTGTCCAGCTCACTGTAAATCTATTACTTAACTAAATAAAAAATTAATGACAGCTATCAAAAAATTACCAAAACAAAAAATAACAAGACTGCTCCTATCAGGGCGATGCCTTGAATTTTCTGACTGCCTTTTAAGATTTATGGAGCAGTAATAACATAAATATCATTAACAAATTAAATGTAAAAAAAATGAAAAGTTTTTTTTCTAAAATTTGAAATTTTTTTCCAAGAAAACCATCTCCCCACACGCCATATAAACAACAAAAGAATAGATTTCGCTAACTGTAACAAATCAATTATGGCAAATAAGCTTCTTTCAACCAATTTGGAACGATTTCTAAGACGGATTAAATATCCGCTTACGCGTTAATAGCGCGAATTATATCGCGCGGTAATTGTCTCAAATTGGTCAAATTAGCCAAAATGTTAATCTTTAAACCCTCATAACTTTACGAAAAATGATCACAGGTGAAATATCGTTTCAAATTTAAGCTCAGGACAGCAATACCTTTTGAATGATATAAAAAAGTTCCGTCAAAAATGGCTGGTTAAAAAGTCGAAATTTGTCTGAAGAAAAAAAAACCCACCCCGAGCACAAATATTCCGTTACTTTCGTATCGAAATTCGGAACAAATACTTGTTATTGCAGAACACATGCAATAAAAAATGCGATATAATTTTAAATAAAAATAAAAAATTTTATTAGAAAATATTTATTTATTACATTGCAAAACACGTTATTTTTGCGGGGCCCTGTCTCCGAGCCCTGACATTTACTTCTGGAGTAGATATATCAAATAGTACCTCTAGAGTAGATATATCAAAAGCAAAGCACTAGGCGCGAAGCAGACAAAATTATCAATAAGCCTGTTTTGTCTCAAAAAACTCTCAGCCAACAGATCTTCAGTTGAAATTATCAAGACAACTGGGTCATAAGTTGAAGGTTTTCTGAAATTGGGGCCTCAACTTGACACAGCGTACGAAAAACAACCAAATTGCCGTATAAAAAGTTCAAACTTTTTCAATGAAATTAAAAAAGAACTCAATATTTACGGCGGCCAATTTTTTTTAAAAACGAAGCTGAAATCATATGCCACTTTGCCACTTGCACTACCGAAACAAAGCCGTAACAAATTATCACAAGACTGCTCGTGTCAGGGCGAAGCCCTGAATGTTCCGTACTGCTTTTTAAAGTTTATGGATCAGTAACAACCTATAAAAAATTAACTGTTATAGAAAAAAATTTCTCTGTGAAATTCGAAATTTCTTATGAAAATCATGCCCCCACACGCCATATAAAGTTTAAAAGGATAGATTTCGCTACTTGTAACAAATCAGTTATGGCAAATAAGCTTCTTTCAGCCAATTTGGAACAATTTTTAAGACGAATTAAATCTCCGCTTACACGTTAATAGCGCGTTAGTTGTACCAATTTGGCCAAAATGGCAATCTTTAAACCCCCACAACTTTACGAAAAATGATCACAGGTAAAATATTTTTTCAAATTTAAGCTCAAGACAACAATACTTTTTAAATGATATTAAAAAAATCCGTCGAAAATGGCTAGTTAAAAAGTCAAAATTTGTCTGAAGAAAAAAAAACCAAAACCCATCCCGAGCACAAATATTCCGTTACTTTCTCATCGAAAGTCGGAACAATAACGAATATGAAAACAATTTTTGAACAACAGCTAAACTTTTGAACAACAGCAAATAAGACCGGCTATGATTTAAAAAATTTCAACTCCTCGTCTGATCTTGAACTGAAAAAAAATATACTAACAGTTTCATTGTTCGTTGATTGAAAGCTATTCAAACATCTCTGGAAAAACAAAACGTAATGTATTATTTATCAGCAGGATCGTTATATTGAAAGTTGTTTGAAACTTTTCTTACATTTGGAATCAAACTCAAAATGCAAATACAAACAACTATGGACAACAGTTTTTGAAAAAATTACGGATCAACTTAACATCCTCCACCCTAAATGAACCAAGTTTTCAATTTTCTGCAGAACATTTTGTGAATTCTAGCGTGAACAACTCTAAACCAGTTTTTCTTGAAAATTTTGATTCGTTCGTATCACGATTAAAAGCTTCAGTTTCTTGTATCACTCGTCTCATTCCAAAGATTATTTGTGGTAGTAATTTTGCGTGGAAAACAAAAAAAATTGAAAAAAACTAATGTACCCAAATACAAAGTTTCTCCCATTTTTCAAATGGTCGGAACAACGAAATCAACAGCAGCTCAACGTGCAAAACAAGAAAAACTAAGTTAAGAACGTTAAGATCCCTTAATGGGCAATCTACGAACTGCTTTTTCGCTGTTCTCCCAAGCTATCATTATTTAAATATTAACAATTTCAAAACTTTTGTACAATTTATTCCCTTCTTGAAAAGGGCTTTATTTCTTATTTTTATGTTGAAGGAGTTTTTTTTCACTTCTCTGCGAAGGATAATGGGCTTGTTGACTTTTTTGAAGACTCGAAGGTTTCGGTGTTTGCTTATTGATCAAGAACTGATTCTGCTCGCATTTCCTTATACCATTAGATTTTGGACGAGTGCTGATCAATTTATGTGGAAAATAGTTTTCGATAAGGACATTTTCGCCATTTGATTCTAAATAACAAATTTTATGGACATCCAAATAAAAAAAACAGTTGCTGAAAGCAGTTTTGGAAAAAATAAAATTACGATAAAGAAAGCGAATGTCAAGGCTGTGCATCAAAAACGGCTAAAACTATTTTAGAAGTTCAATATTTTGCCCGCTTTCCAGATATTTGGAGCAGAAGGAATTAAAATAGAAATTTTGTAGCATTTGTGGCTGGATAAAGTTAGCACCACAACGTTTTGGCCCTCTTCCATGTCTATATTTGGTGTTTTTCTTTCAGAATAATGAAACTACAGCAAAAATTACTCAAGCTATTAGTTATGTCACAATATACGAACTCTTAAGCCCTTTTATGCTTCGAGAATAGTAAAACTCACAGCTAAGTCGCCGATGGGCTTGACGTGCTATGCGCTTGACTGCGGTCTCCAAAAACTCTTGATAAAAAATGTACGTTCTTCTGTTGGTAATTGCTTGTACCGCTACTTTTTTTTATAAGTATATGTTTTTAGACTGATCAATTTCACCTTATTTGAGCAATATAAGTGTCCCAATCCATGTTTCTGGAAAAGATGCACATTTTGGCCGTGAAAATGGTTTACAAAGAAACAGAATCCTTAATTTGGCCATTGCCAAATTCGATAAGGGCCGAGCTAGAACTCAGTTCTTAGCTGCTATTTCATTCTAAGTATCAGACATTCTTTCGTTTATTGTCCATTTTTTCATGTTTTGTAACAACATTTTTCACTCACGGAAATTTTAGAACTCTTAATCAAATTCAAGCTTGCTTTTGTCTGTTCAATGTTTTTTGAATTTGGAAGGTCAATGAGGTCATTAATGTACCTGTTAAAGCAATCGATTTCACAAATTAATTGTCTAGCTCGTCTAATTTTTGAGCAGACACAATAATCATTTTCTGGCAGTGAAGTTTCTGAGAGGTTGAACTGAAATATCTAATGCGAGTAAGATCTGGATTTGGACGTCTGGAAACAATGTGCATGCGCGAGATTGTTCTGAGCATCAGCTTAGTGATCCTAATTACGAGCAGTAAGTTCCAGTTTTGATAAATACTATGTTTTTTGACCTGCGTTTGCAGTTTTATGAAAACAATACGCAGATCTTTTATTTTACGGAAATAAAAATCTTCGGGAAATAAATTGATGAATCAAAACCTGTTTTAGGCGACGCTTCTAGAAAGTGTTCGAGTAATCAGTTCCAGTGCAAGAGCGGAGAATGCATTCCTCTAAGATTCGAGTGTGACAAGATTGTGGATTGTCAGGATGAATCTGACGAAAGCGGGTGTCCGATTGAACCACCGCAGATCTGCTTGGAGCTTCAATGCAATGATGGTAAGTTGTTTCCCAATTCCAGTTTTCCCAATTCCAGTCACTGGAAACTGGAAACTAGCAAGATTTTGAGGGAGAAAGTTGAAGTCAGCCCCCAAAACTTAAAAGGTCCACTAGTAATAGACTAAGATATCAAGGATTCCTATGTTATCCAATTGTATTATAGGATCTTGCATTCCTGGAAAGAAATGTGACGGCATCTATCAATGCCCTGATGGATCTGACGAGATGAATTGTCCAACCGAACCATGCAAGGGATTCGAGTGTCACTCTGATGGCAAATGTATCCCACATTCTCGAGTATGTAATGCATTCAGTGACTGTTTCGATAACTCAGATGAGCAGGGATGTCCGGAGCCCTCTTGTAACAGAAATGAGTTCACGTGCAATGATGGAAAATGTATCGATTTGACCTCAGTATGCAATGGATTCAGGGAGTGCAAAAATGGCGAAGACGAGGGCGAGTTCTGCAGCGTCGACCCAGATGTTGTCGTTTTGAGTTGCCGGCGTGGGCAGTTCAATTGTGGAGATGGAACTTGTATTCCGATCGACAAAGTCTGCGATTTTGTGTAAGTTAATGGGAGACCTTAAGGAGACCTTAAATGCTGTTTACTAGTATCCAAATCTAGGTTCATACTGAAATTTTGGTTTGAAATTTCAATTTTGGATTGTGCCTAGTCATTCTAATCGGAATAGTTTCATACTGAAATTTTATTTTGTGCCGTTCATCCTATAAGAGTCTGTTTCATAGAAACAAAGAAAAAAAACTTTTTGTAACTCCCTTTATACTTCGACGATTGAATGACGGTTAATTCGATGTGGGTTTTAGTCCCGACTGTAAGCGAGGAGAGGACGAAGGCGACTTCTGTCCAATCAATCCGCCTTTGAGACGCCCCCAAGACTGCCACTTGACAGACTTCCACTGCAACGACGGAACATGTCTACCAGCCTCATGCATCTGCGACGGGAACCCACAATGTCACGGGGGTGAAGACGAAGGACGGTTCTGCTTGGCGCCTGAACCGGAGATAATCCCGAGGGGCAACTGCTCAAGGAACCAATTTACATGCACAGATGGTGTTTGCCTGTCAATGGATCTGGTTTGCAACGCTAAATGGAACTGCAAAAACGGAGAGGATGAGGGCGATTTTTGCCCGGAACCTTTGCCCCCTCTTCCAAACCCAAGATGCTTCAACGATGAGTTCACATGCACTGATGGAAAATGTGTACCATTCTCTTGTGTCTGTGACGGTGAGTGGAACTGTTTATACGGCGAAGACGAAGCTAAATTCTGCATCAAGGATAAACCAGAACCCCCGAAGACCTGCGACACCGATGAGTTCATGTGTGCAAATGGCAAATGTATCCCGCTCTCGAGCCTGTGCGATGGCAAGAACAATTGTGAAAATGGCGAAGATGAAGGCGACTTCTGCCCAACCCCTCCGCCCGTGAGGCCACCCCCGATTTGTGGACCTAACGAGTTCCGATGTGCCGATGCTAAATGTATCCAGGTGGCTTTAGTATGCAATGGAAAAGCCGATTGTATTTATGCCGAGGACGAGGGAGAGTATTGTGCCACGAAGCCCCCTCCCCCAGCTCCGAAACCGAAGTGTGGAGCCAACGAGTTCATCTGCCAGGACGGATCTTGCATCTCGCTTCGACTGGTGTGTGACGGCGTTAAAGACTGCAGAAACGGCGAAGACGAGGGACAATTTTGCCCAACTCCACCTCCCATCCCAGAACCCCCTAGTTGCAGTGTTAATGAGTTCTTGTGCGTGTCTGACGGAAGTTGTATCCCTCAAACTTGGCTGTGTGATGGAAAATGGAATTGCAAAAAGGGAGAGGACGAGGCTGAGTTCTGTCGACCTCCTCCAGCTCCTGAAGCTCCCTTGCCTTGCAATGAGTACCAGTTCACTTGCTCCGATGGAACTTGCATCCAACAGGTCTTCGTTTGTGACGGAAGGTGGCATTGCGCTCTGGGTGAGGACGAAGGACCCTACTGTCCGACTGCTCCGACCCCCTACCCTGCCCCGATTTGTGACAAGAATCACTTTCTGTGCAGTGACGGAACTTGCATCCCGAACATCCACGTATGCAACGGAAGATGGGATTGTGTCCATGGTGATGACGAAGATGAGTTCTGCGAGCCCCACCCTACCGTGGAACCTCCCAGTAAGTGAAGGCGAAGCTGTATAAATGCCTGCAAATCAGCGCAGTCAATCAATTCAGATGTCTTTTCATGTTTTTTAGAGCCCCGTTGCAAAGTAGATGAGTTCACTTGTATCGATGGCAGCTGCATCCCCCACTTGAAAGTGTGCAATGGGAAGAAGAACTGTGCTGAGGGTGAGGATGAGGGGGAGTTCTGTCCCACTTACGCCCCTCCCCTGCCTGGACTTCTGTGTGACAATGACCACTTCATGTGTGCTGATGGAACCTGCATCAAAGTGGCGTTCGTTTGTGATGGCATGTGGCACTGCGATAGCGGTATGACTCCTGAAACTTCAAAGAAACTTATTACTTCAGAAGCTAGTTTGATTTCCAAAGCGTGCAATTTATCGAAGAAAAACGAGTTTTAATCAGGAAAGATAGAGTCCCTTAACAATATAATAAAGGATGACCAAGTCTAGCACCGCACGCATCTTTTTCAATAAGTTCTCGCACGCATCTTTTTCAATAAGTTCTCGCACGCATCTTTTTCAATAAGTTCTATAAATTATTTAAATGATTTGTACTCGATAATAAGTTCTATAAATTATTTAAATGATTTGTACTCGATTGTTTTGAACTATCAAACTTTTGTAGGCGAAGATGAAGGTGATTTCTGTGAACCGATCCCAGAACCTCCGACTCCAGATCAGAGCTGCAAACTGTACGAATTCAAGTGTGCCGATGGAAAATGTATCTCGCATGACAAAGTGTGCAACGGACGAGACGACTGCCGAAACGGGGATGACGAGGCCGACTTCTGTCCGACTGCTCCGCCGAAACCCGAGGGACCGAAGTGCGGAAGAAACGAGTTCATGTGCGACAACGGAGAGTGCATCAATTACCGATTCGTCTGCGACGGAGTCTGGAATTGCCGAAAGGGAGAGGACGAGGCCAAATTCTGCCTCCCCCACAAAACACCTCCAGTGCCCGAATGTGAAATGGACGAGTTCATGTGCTCCGATGGGTTGTGTGTGAAGTTGCACAAGTTGTGTGACGAGTTCTACGACTGTGCGGACGGGGCTGACGAAGGAAGATTCTGCACTGTAATTGACCAGTGCAAGGGATTCATGTGCAGAGACGACTCAAGATGTCTGAGGTATTTTCTAATCACTTCGTATTGAGAAAGTTCTGAGAGGTTAAAAACTGAAATAATACTCAAGGGTTATACCTCAGTATATATTCACTTTTTTGGGGTTTTAACACTAAATATAACTACAATTGGGATTTAAATCAAGTGAAACCAAGTTTTTAGCAGTAATTTGAAATGTTTAAACCCCCGGCTTTAAGTTTTTAGCAGTAATTTGAAATGTTTAAACCCCCGGCTTTAAAAGGACATAAGTTTTCATTTTGAGGTGGAACCAAGTGTGTGATGGTCACAAACAGTGTTTCGATGGAAGCGACGAGAAGAATTGTGACTTGAGGCCTTCGATTGACATGACCTGTCCCAAGAATCAGTTCCAGTGCTCGCAAACCCGGGAATGCGTTGACATCAAGTGAGGCTATTAGAGAACGTTTGAAAAACCATTTTTTCATTTTCCCCTCAACCTTCTATATTTAGCTTAGAAACCTTATCATTTTAACGTTATCACAGATGCAACGAAACTTCAAATGGTGAACAAACTAACAATTGTGAACAGTTTTTTTACTTCATGCGTAGCATCACGCGTTAAGCCATAACACGTAAAGCAACTAAAAAGTACAATTGGAAAAGAGCCAAAAAGTTTTAATTACGCGTTGGCAATAATCGGGATAAAAAAACTAACTCATGATAATTAAGAAATTAAAGAAAAATTCCAAATTGAAATACTGATTGAATTTCAGCTTGTAAAAGTTGTGCCAAAAATGAATAGTGATTGTGAATTTCAGCTCTTGCTGCAATGGAGTGAGTGACTGTGGCGACAAGACAGACGAACTGGTCTGCAACCGAACTCTGATTGTACCCAACAACCCTTGCCGAGTGGGGGAGTATTTCTGTGTGGACCAGTCGCGCTGTCTGCCCACCAACTGTCTGTGTGACCACGTGAAGGACTGTCCAGATGGATCGGATGAGATCCGACAGGTGTGCGAGAACGCCATGTGAGCAGGAGCTCAAAATAACTGAACTGAAACTCACAAAACAGACTTGCCAGTATATTATTAAATAAATACAATAAGTTGATTATCAATTGTATTGGTAAACATAATTTATTGTTTATTTTAACAACTTTTTCAAAATCTGAACTAAGTAGGCCCAGAATTATTCCGGAAACAAAGCCTTGCAAAAGGACGTTCGAACGTTAGTCCAATCAGCGAGTTCAGTGAACATCTCCAGTTAAATCAAACTGTCAAAAAATTCGTAAAATTCTCTATTTTAAAAAATTCGCTATTTTAAACCCGCCGAATATGTTGCCATCTTATTTTCTGGAAAGAAACTCACAGTAAAGTTCAGGAGAATCCAGGTGAGTTCAGGAGAATTCAACACCGAATCGTTCCTCTGACCAGCGTTTTTTTAGTTTTTTGATTATGACGAATTCCGCCTAAAGGTAACACTTAATAACTACTCCAACTGTGTGTGTGCAGGATATTTCGGAAAAAAGTTCTGTCCATGGTCAGTGGGATTCCCAAGGGCTTCACTTTGCTGTAAAATACTGTCCAATGGTGGTCAAAATTGGTATGCTAACTAATGAAAGCGTGATAAGTCTTCATGAACATTGCGGTATCACAACCAGTTATCCTATACAAAGGTACCCCACTCAACAATGACCTAGCAGACAGAATAGCCCAGGACCATGCAAATCAAAACAAACCATCTCAAGATTCGAGAAAAGTAAATATCGCAATATGTTAATCAAAAAAGTTACCCTCGTGGACAAAATTAACCGCAAAATAAGCGTTTTGTACCATTAACTGAGTTTAGTTCCCTAAGCTTAGCGCGATATTTACTTCAAAGCTCAGAAAAACTTTAACAAGTACAGACATTTCCTGTGCAGACATTTTTCAAATTGCGTCAACATGTAGAACGAGCCAAGTTGAGTCAAATTTTTACACTGATTATTTCAGCTTGCTTCCTAAAAAATATTCTGAATAATGAATAATTTTTTTTACCGTTAATTCAAAAAAGAGTTCACTCCGATGCTGAGGTAATCTGACAAAAAAAAATCTGGCATTTTCAGATCTTGATTGAAATGGCTAGTCTTCGAAATCAAAATTAATACACTCCTTAAAGGTAATTCTGACCATTTGATCTCGATCAATTTTGCAAAAGTTTGCGGTAAATGTTGTTCAAAGTGAACACTGAAAAACAAGAGTTTTTGAGCTTTAAAAAGTAAAAGACTGATTTGGTGCCTAAGTTTGTCGACTAGTGTACCTATTTTTTAATAAACTAGTGAAAAATAAAGCGCAGCGTCAGTTTTTTTTATCTAAAATGTCTGCTTTATCTAAAAGCTTTTTTTTTGCATTTTCACGCGTTTCGAAACCTTTTTCGGATTAAAAACTACTAAAAACACTCAGCGCAAATTTTTGAGGTTAATTAACGCTTCAAATATACAAAGTTTGGATGTTGGTCAACTGATATACATTATTGTTCCTCACTCACAAAGAAAAATACAGAATACTTGGGCTCGGTATCATTGTTTCTACTGCCACAAGGGTTTCAACTAGTTGCTAATGACAAAAATTTTGCACCATCTGGAAGCACCACCATAGTGAAAAAAAATAATTAGTTTGTCCTTTTTTTAATAAATGAAGATTTGAAAAATATAAAATTAGCCAATTTTTATCGGGTATGCGGGTAATTACGGTGCGAGAGAAGTCGTTGCAAATTTAAGCAAATCAAGATACCTAGTCTCATTTTTGTTTTACTAGACGCTAAAGATACTGATTAATACGTTCAGGTGGATGTACGATTTCCTCGAGTAGGGGGGCGAAATTTCAAAAACAGTTACGAAAATTTTGGCAATTTTTTTAGGGCCGACTAAAATGGTTTTCCAAGCGCTCCCAGAACACTAAAAAGACCTCAATTAGATCAAACATTTTGTCATAGAACTTTTTTTGAAAAATTTTGTCACAAAATATTACCAATGGAGTTGCTTTGGATGGTGAGGGGGTCGAATTCTTGAGACAACTTTCCTAAATCCGCTCCTGCTTTCAAACCAGGAGCGCCATAAAACCATAATGTACCAGCTACTGACACGACAAGGGAGAAATTACGACAGAGAGGAATTGGGTCAAGGTCACTTTTTGAGGTACAGAACCCATCCATTAAAATTATTGAAATGTTGTGTCAAGTTTGAATTGTGTTGATTTTTTTTCGAGTTGGCTCAGAAGTACAAAAGAATTTTGGGAATTTTTATATAAATGCAGAAACAACAAAAAACATCCATTTGATCACTCGTTTGGTAAAATTTTCTTAGCAATTTACTGCCTGATGAACTTACGATGTTCCACGAGTTCCAGTAAAACATGCTGCTTCAAATAAACTTCCCAATCAAAAATTAGAGTGAATCTGCCTGAAAGTCTAAATCTGAAGTCATCAAACTAATAGATCCCTTTTTACAAGCGAACATGCATCCAAACTAGAGCAACCACTTGCTGATCAAGTAGTACAAAATGCTTGATTTTCGAAGCTTGTTTTTATCTTGCTCCTAAACCGTTGAAAAAAACGTTAAACTAAGTTGCGAGAAAATTAGAAAAACAATAAAATTGTCGATTTCAAAAACCATGCAATCTTTGCTATTGGTATTTTTTGCGCTACTTCAACAGCAATCTTAAAAATGACTCCAAGAAAGACTCTACTGGGTCGGTAACTTCAAGTTAACACTTTTTGGCAGCTTCAATCTAATTTTTGATAGAGAAATTTGTATGGAGCAGCATGTTTTACTGGCATTCGTGAAACACCGGTAACTCATCAGGCATTAAATTGCTTGCGTAGGTTTTAACAAACGAGTGATCAAATAACTAAAAATGAACATAAATTGTGTCTCCCAATTCAAAAAAAATTGACATAATTGATACTGAGAAAGTATGATAAACAAGAAAAATTTTGGATACTGGAATTTTTCATTTTGGAAAAAAATCTTTTTTTTTTACCACTTTCTTTTCCATTTCAAAACCAAACAAAAACACACGCACAAAAATATCTAACAAGTCAACTAGAATTCGACCATATTCCACTTTTGGCAGAAAAATTATTGTCAGTTTTGGTCTTGTTTATTAGTTTGACGCTTTTATGTAATTATTATCAATTTTCTTATAAAACCTGTATAAAATCTATATACAATCTGTACCAAATTATGTACTTTAAAAACGATTTTGGTGACTATTTAATTGATTAAAAATGCAATCAATTGTAATCAATTCAATACTAAAAAAAATTTCTAATTTCTGAAATAAAACATCACTATTGAGTTAGGACCGATGTGGTTAACTCATAGAGAAATTTCGGATAGGGTACACCGTCTGCTCGTCACGCTATCTTATTTTCGGCCGGATAGATTCGTGCAACTTCTTAGTCTAATACCGATCCTAATCTTACTCTTAAACTTACTAGTCTCAGGGTGTTTAACTAGTCTCTGCTAGGCTCAATAGATCTAGGGTATACTGGTTTGTTGCGGCTGCTGAAGTTCTCTCGGAGAGACAACTAATTTCTAAGTTAAATTCAAATCTCTCTGGTGCTGAAATTACAAGTAATTTCAGCACTTACAAATAAGTGGGTTGTTAGTTAGATGGATCATGATTGGTTAATATTAAATACTTTACAGTGGTAAAATATCTAATTTATCCAATCATAAAATATAGTTTAGATCAGGTTCCACGCATCCGGGTTTACAGAGTTTTTTAGAATTATCTTTCTGCAATTCAAAGGATGGATGATGAACGTTGGTATTGGGCGAACATCGTATTCTTGTCCGGTTCCTCTTGTTAGAGAAGTTACAGGTCGCTGGATTTAGGGGCATCAATCGTTGTGTCTTCTTGTGACAACGACTGTGTTTCCCAACGAAATCAATCTGTTTTCAAAATGGTTTGCTATGACGGGTTTTTCTGTATTATGTAGAGAACTTGTTTTGTGTTCAACCTCGTCTGGGAATGGCGTGGAGATTGTGCGTGGAGGGGATACCTTGTAACTCGGATCTGTACGTATACTTGAGCATCGAGGTGGTCATTGGTCTAGTTCAATGAAGTCCTTTTCTGCGAAGTCAAGTCGTACTCTAAATCTTTTGAGTTGTGATTGTGGACGGCATTTTGGTTGTGGTTGGCCATTCTTTTTCGAGTGTAGTGGGATCATTTTGTCTTTGGATGTTCGTCTTTGTTGTTGTATGCTGATCTATATACTGCAAAGTATGTTTTACATTTTATAAACTTTTTATTAGTTCAATGTTTTAATTATGATTTTGATTAGTTGTTTTCACAAAAGCTTTTTGTTTTAGTTCGGTTATTTTGAAGAGTTATTCACCCTTGAGTACCTCTTATTAAAAATAGGAGTGTGGTCACAAAGCGTGTTTGTAGCGCGGTGGGTTAGGCCGGCTATAGAGCATGCTCAGGACGTCCTCTCTGGTGGGTTAGGCCAGGAGAAGGAGTATGATTTCGTGCGGTTTCTGTGAGAGGTCCTGTTATGTGATAACGTTTTATGTTGAGCTTATGGTGGTCTTTCTTATGTTCCGTTGGTTGTGTCCTTTTTTCAAAAATCAAATTGTCTTTGTTATGGGTTTGTCTTTCGACTTTTTTGTGTTTTATTATTTCTTTCTTAGACTTTATAATAGTCTTCAAAAGAATAAATTATCCAGTTTTAAACTAATTTAATCCAGTTTGGGTACCGTTGGTTTTCTTTTCTTAGTCATGCTGTTATTTTGTGATTTGTGGTGTTTAGTCAGCTGCGTTGGTTAGTTTGGTTTAGTATATAATTCCTTTCCAACCGGGTTAAAGGAAAGTTTGAAACTTGTTATTGTATGTTAGAGTTGTTGAGTGTGAAAACTTGAAACTAAAATTCATTATTTAAACAATTCTTCGTGGGCGAGCTGTGCGAGTTTGGATAAAATTTTTGTGCGAGTGAATGAAAATATCAAAAGGTTAGTACTGCATTTTTACTTTATCAATTTACTACATAGAATTTTAATTTTACTGCTAGTTTTGGGGAAAAGTTAAGTTACAAATTTTCATTATTATGAAATTTACTGCTTTTTGGGAAAACAATTTATAAATTAAATTACTTCATTTGATATAAATTTTATCAAATTATTTTGTGGAGAATATTAATGAAGTTTAGAATAAATTTAATAAGTTTTTATTTTGTTTTTCTTGTTTTTTGTAGATGATCGTGGTATGAAGACTAAAAATCTAAAAGAAACATGAGTAAAGAATGGTTAGTATTTATTTTAAATTTATTAGTGAAGAATATGTATAAATTTTACTTACATGTTAGTCGTCGGGGAAAAAACCGTGGGGGAAGATGTCGTGTATTATTTCTGAATTTGTTAGTAACTTTGCTAGTATGCGAATGATGTTTTTAGTTTGAAGCAGTGGCCAAAGCAATTGAAGTGCTTTAATAGTTTTTAGTTCTTCAGTGCCAACTGCAAACTCATAAGGTGTGTTTTGAATGAGGTTATATAATTTGTGATTGTATTTAGTATTGTGGATGGATTCTAATATTGGGATTTCTATAGGTTGGATAAATTCATGTGGGATAAGGAAGGGTCTGGATTCTTCTGCGTTAAAGGTCTTCGTGATGGGAAAAAATATATACATTTGTGTTATTGGGTCATAGTTGCGGAGGATGAGTTAGGACCAGATGAGTTAGGACCGATGTGGTTAACTCATAGAGTAATTTCGGATAGGGTACACCGTCTGCTCGTCACGCTATCTTATTTTCGGCCGGATAGATTCGTGCAACTTCTTAGTCTAATACCGATCCTAATCTTACTCTTAAACTTACTAGTCTCAGGGTGTTTAACTAGTCTCTGCTAGGCTCAATAGATCTAGGGTATACTGGTTTGTTGCGGCTGCTGAAGTTCTCTCGGAGAGACAACTAATTTCTAAGTTAAATTCAAATCTCTCTGGTGCTGAAATTACAAGTAATTTCAGCACTTACAAATAAGTGGGTTGTTAGTTAGATGGATCATGATTGGTTAATATTAAATACTTTACAGTGGTAAAATATCTAATTTATCCAATCATAAAATATAGTTTAGATCAGGTTCCACTATATTACTGAATTTTATTTGCGATGAACGAGTTTGTTTTTTCTTTTCACAAACCGGATGGTGAATATGATGTAGAAATTGAAGCACAAATGGTAAAGCACTCAATTACGAAACCAGAATGTCCATTGTGAGAGAAAATTGCATGGGTAAAATACCAGCAAAATAAAAACGGGTGGTATACCCTCTTGGATAGTAATTTTAAAAAATTACAGGAGTCACTGAACGAAAGCTCTTGAATCAAAACTGGATGCAGCGCAAAAAACTTGTAGTGTAGCAACCAAGTCGACAAAGCATAAGCATAATATTCCGGCCATTCAATTTTTCCCAGAAAAAATCAATTTCAGAAACTGAAAAAAAAAACACGGCCCGACCGGGACTTGAAACTCAGACCATAGGGTGCAAAGGCAACTTTATAATCTCCAGTCGAAGAGAAAAGACGCCTGGCAGTTTCTGGGAGTCGATATAAAATAACTTAATTTTCATTCACAAATGTAGAAGAAAAGTTTTTAATAACAAAAAAAAGTCTAGTTCCTGGTTACAGAACTTCTGCTTTTGCAAGTGTAAGTTAAAAAAAAACAGTACAGCAAAACGTCCGAGTAGGTAACCGAACAACACATCGTTTTATAAGAATTACTAAGAGACTAAACCACAATGAGCATGAGAGCAATTATCAGAGCATGATGCAAAGAACTTCAGAAGGGCTTTGATATTGGCGTTTTATCGCCTCAAAACTCATTGGCATCTCCGCTCATATAAAAGTGTCATGATATACGGCTTTTGAGTAAGAAACCCAGTAAATACAATTTCCGAAAAAAATTGCCCGGTATTTGTGGAAAGTCTGTTAAACTAACTCTTAAAAGAACTGCTCGAACCGTAGAAGCATACGATGATCCAATTCCTACCTCAAAAACAGCAGTTGTTAGTTCTTTCTGAAAACTCAAATGTACACAAAATTGGTGCATTGGCTATCAGGAACCTTGAAAACAGTCATAACAAAGAAGCTTAGTTAGAGCAAAAAAAATGTTGCCCAGCTCAACATCAGCAAATCTTAATGCAAAAATTTCTTTTCATTGCTAGAGGAAGTAAAAGCAAAGCCACAAAACATGGTCTGGCAGGTAGTATGTCTGGCATGACTCATTCGGGGTGCACAATGCCGCAACATTCGTGAAGCAGAGATATAGCTTTGTGTCATTTTTAAAGTTTGACTCAGTAGCATGATATTGAAAGAAGTTAGTTACGAAAAAACTTTAGGGTGGACTGAAATGGATTTTGAAGACGTATAAGACAGCTTGCACAGGCTGTTCAAAATAAAAAATGAAACTCTGAAAAAGCCTTGCCCAATCTTTCTCAGCTCAGTGAAGAATAATGAGAAGAAATCGAAAGCGTGATCACCACCGATTTGTCAACAACAAGAAAAAAGCAAAGCATTTAAGCTCATATTGACAACATGATCGTTTTTGAGCTATTTAGCATCAACTGTTAGATACATGCGTGGTTTTCAGCTAATCGAGTAAATTGCAGCTAAAACACATGCACGAATATTTCAAGGAACCCCGGGTTGACGTCCATAGAAGAAAAATGCTTATCATACAGTTTTATATATGAAGTCTATGAAAAAAATGCTAATCATACAATTTTCATGCATGAAAATTATAAAATAGTCATTTCGTCATAGAAAAAATAAATATTTCAAAAATCACCAAAAAACGTGTCTGGGTAACTTTAAATAGATTTAAATAAGTATATCTATGATAGAGGGCATATTGACAATCAAAAACATATTTTAATTTTGGTCAGAAAAATGCTTATCATAAAGTTTTCATATATGAAAATTGTATGATAAGCATTTTTTTCAAACACAAAAATAAAATTTTGAGGTAAAAAAATTTTAATCCTTTTTTGGCTGCAAATTTGCATTTGTGCTAAAATGTAAACTTTACGAAAAAAAAAATTTCATGCAAAATTTGACATTTTTGTGTTTATAACGTAGTCCAGGATGAGTTTCTCACCCAAAAAACCCAAAAATTACATGAAAAAGTTTTTTTTGTAAACACGATTATTATCTTTTGTTTCATTTGCTAAAATAAAAATAAAATTGTAAAACAAAACAGGCCTTTTTTTTTTCTCAAACATCATAATTTTCAAGCTAAAAATTATCTAGCCATATTCAAAAAAGGCATTTTTTGGTATCTATTTCCATGTGAAAATGTTAAATTTAACTTTTATAGCTGAAACCTCCAAATGCCAGTTACTCTCTGGGTTTTCTCATGACAAAAAATCCTTGGTTAGTGTTTCGGTTGAAGCACGAAACTTTGAAACAAAATTTTTTTGAATTTTCAATTATGGAAAAAATGCTTATCATACAATTTCATATATGAAAAAAAAAGCTTATTTTGCTATTTTCATACATACACTTTTACTCTATGAAATTGTATGAAAGAGTAAGCTAAGCATTTTTTTCATATATGAAAATTGTATGATGAGCATTTTTTGTCAACCCGGGACATCAATAACTTTGACAAATGACTAATTTCAATGAACGAGTGATACAAAATTTATCTACAAAGAATCTCATGTTTGAGTGAACAACAAAATCTATATTTGCTTTGGAGTTACAGAAAAAAAATTGCCCATGCCAAATTGCTCAACGTTGTTCTCTGGAAAACGGCGGAACAGTGAACACTAGAGATTTCAAACAGGTGGTTGGTGGCTTTAACTCACAACAAGGACATCCGGTAGTGTATATTCAGGAATTCAGGAAAACTTTTTAAGCGCGAATACTCTTATAAATTTCGAATGCCTAGTAATTGCTTCTATGCTGGCTTGATTGATCGGGGGCTATTCTCATGCGCGAAGGACCGAATGGGCGAAAAAATTTGTGGGCCAAGGACCGCAGACAAAATTAGCCGAAAATCAATTTTTAAAAAGAAACAATAGCCTTTCAGTTAAAATGAATTAAATGAAGCAATATTTGCTACTTTCATTGCAAAACCCTTGAAATGTAAAATTTTCCCAACTTTGCAGCGGTCAATGATAATTTGATTTAGCATATTTCTGCCGTTTTTATATTCGGCCAAGATCGATACTTCAGTCCCTTGAAATGTTTACTTTCTTTCCAAATTTTAGATTACTGAAATCTGATTGGCTGACTTTTGTTTTCGCGCATTCGGTCCTTCGCGCATGAGGGATTCCACCGATTGATCAAGCAGTTGTTACTTGAGCGCATGTACCCTCTGCGAACAGTTCATAAACATGTGCAGTTGTTCTTTGCTCTCAAAGATTGGATAACAGACAAGCATCCGCCAGAATAGCCAGACACTCTAATAAGCTAATACATTCCGGCTACAAGATAAACTTGAGTGAGACATAAAAACTACATTTGATGAAACGCTTAAAGAGGGGATGGCCTGCAATTTCAATTTGATATCTAATTTGCAGACACGCAAACCATTCAACTAATTGGCATCAAAATTGTTTTAAGCGAACTAAATGTTTCAAGACATCCATCAAACGTACATAGAGCGATTGATTGGAGGCAATGGTCAGAAGTTGAAGCACTGACAGCACAAAGAGCAAAGAGTTAGTGTCCTAGAGTTTTCTTTATTCCATCCATACCACCAGAATTCAAAAACAATTCGTAGAATGCCTCACAAAAAGGTTTAGGGAAGATATTTATCTTGTTTTTTACATAACAAATGGTTGGCAGGTGACTTGGTTGTTAAAAAATGTGAACAGTTTTGCAACGATGTGATAAATGTCAAAAATATTTCTGCATAATTATTAAACTATTTCCATAAATGAGATAAGCTTTTACCGACTGAATATAGAAAGTTTAGACTATCCGGAAATTCATTTCTTTAGTCGTTGCTAGATTTGCAGTGCCAAAAATTAGCTAGCCGTCCTTGCAAAGTTTGCAAGATAGTTTTTTATTTGATTTTTTGTTTTAAAAAGTGTGTACACGATGTTGAAGCGAGATGCAAACAACCGAACACTTTTTTGTGTCTCATGCTAATGAAACTTTCAGCAAGAATTTACGATAATCATGCAATATGAAGTGCTTTAAGATTGGCTTTTTTGTAAGATCACGCAATAATTTTGCAAGATTGAGTGGTTTAAAATGGTCTGTCTGGCGAAAAATAAACATTTTCTTCTAAGATTGTACCAAGAATGTTACAAGATTCTTGCAAGACCTTCGAAGATAACCCGTCTTCGTCAGCTGGGATATCTAAAAAACTATACAAACTCCTGCATTTGAACGGATATGCAAATCTGTTGCATGAAACAACAAACAACCCTCTCGTTTCTTTTTGATAATCAAGCTGTAAAAGGTCATAAAAACTTGAAAAACCCCAGAGGAATTGCTCAAAACCTCAATGACTCCCTAGTGGCTCAAAGTAATCGAAAAACTCTAATCTACAAAATTATTAAACTATTTTCTGCATAACTATTTTCATGTTCAACTAAAAAGTCCACATTAGTTTTTAAACTCGTACAATAACCGCAAATTCTTCGTTTGCCATTATCCATGTAAAAATAATGCTTAAGATTAGGAGGCTACAAAGGATCATTTTCATGAACGTGCTCGAATCAGTTTTCGTAACAAATCCCAGTTTCAAATCGTAAAATTTTCTCTTCGCTTTGTCAATTCTTTTCGTTTCTTCAAACAAATCAACATATCCAAGTAATCGCAATTTTCGAATCGGAATTTCGGGAAGAACTTTAGACTCTTCGGGCTCTTCGGAAAGTTCAAAGATTGTCTCCAATTTCTTATCACGGCGAACTTTCATATCCTCTTGAAAAACAACAGTCTTCAAACTGAAACTCGTAGGTGTTGAAATATCCCACTGTTTGTTCATTTCGTTGCATTTAGTCAAGTTGACACTTGTGGCAGTTTCGAAACTTGTTAACTCTTCACAAATCTCAATTTGTTCTTCATAAACCAGGCTTGGCTCAACTCTGTACGCTATGGTTTCCGAGAACTCTTGGACACAAACCCAATCTAAGAAATCGAATTCACTCAGAAATGTCATCTTCAGTTCGCCCACTGGCTCTACGGTTACTTCGGATTGAGGACAGAATGTTCCGGAGAATGTCTGGGTGTCGAGGACTGTCCAGTCCGAATAGACACTTTCGTCGACAATGTAGACGTCTGTAACTTCCACATTCATACCAGTGCTTTTAGTTCTAAAAACAAGAATATCGCGATTGTTCTAAAATTTTGAACTCCCGGAGTAAAACTTATTTTTTTTAAATATTGAGTTGAGATATCATCAAAAAGCTGGTGTCGAGAAAAAGTATTTGAGTTGATTATGTATAAACCTCAAATTTGGAAGTTTTTTTTTCAGATTTCAGCTAGAAATACACAAATCAGAAACACACTAATTATAATTCAAAGCGAGTGCAGCAAGCTAACCTTGAATTGATGTGAACTTTGGTTTTTACCGTTGACAAAAACTTTTTGAACATTTGCACTGCGCCACTATTTCTAATGCCAGATTGCTGTCTTTCCTCTCCAAATTTCTTTGGTTTTTGACTCGGATAAGAACGAGTGGAATTTAGAACTTCGTCGCCTGAATTTCGCAAGTCGGCATCCACGACAACTTGTAGTACGGGTGGTGACTCAACGCGGTCGACTTTTTCGCTCTCGGCGCTTCCGATTGAAGATGATGACTCACTGAAGACGCCCGAGTTCGTGGCGGAACTAATTCCTCGTGCTCGCAAACTTTGTTTAAGGCAATCGACGCTCGTTGTTGCGGCAATTCGAGACGGTCGTTTCTGGGCTCCGAAGCGTGCTGAAGATGATGATTGTTCAATTCGGGAATTGTCGAGAGACAATTGCGGTTCTGCAACAGCCGACTGCGCAGAGCTGGGTTTGCCGAGCGTGGTCTCGGAGGTCGTGGAGCCGAGTAGTTGGCCGGATGCATTTTTGTTTTCGACTGATGATCCTGCTCTGACAAGGAAGACCTATAAGCAAAAACAGGTAAACGGTTGCTGTGCAAGTAGCAAAAAATTATCTGTCTACCGTATTCACCGCAAAAAAAATATCAAAAAATTTGTTTCACTTTCAGAACTTTTTGTTATCTTCTTGATAAATAAGTTGAAGCAAACCGCAACGTACAAATTAATGACAACTAATATCCTGTACAAGAAACTAAAATAACATTGGGCACGGATGCCGGTGAACTCATTAGAAGAGGGAGTTACTTTTTTAATTCTTTAGCGGTGAAGGCCAACATTGATAACTTAATAAGTCAAATTTCATAAAATCTAAACATAAAAAAGCTTAGTCAAAGCTTGAATGACGAGAAGATTAGTCATACCTTACCTTCTCATGAGGATGTTGCAAGGTTCCACCTGCGACGATGGACTCTTCTTCGTGTTCGTCATCGTCTGAAGCACCCTCCGCAACGCCGACCGTAGGAACCCCTGATTTGCAACTCGACTCGTCTGCACGCTCGCCGGTCGTCCCGTTGGAACGATATCCGTCGCCGAAATGGGAACACTCGGCGAATGATCTACCGAAACCCGAGTTGCGTTCGCCGTCGAGGGAATGATCAGACTCCCGGGACGAGCCGTCGACGACCGATTCTTTTCCTTGTCGTAAGCCAGTTCGCTGCTTCTCGGTTTTCCAATCCCAATCTTTTCCTGCTTTGAAATTTCTTCCAAAACTCGATTCGGGTGCATTACAGCCGATGTCTAGGTTTTGGTTCTCGTTCTTTGATCCGAAGTCAATGTCGTAGAAGTTGATCAACTCGCAGTAAAATTGTTTGCGCTTCCTCAAATTTATAGTCCGTTTTCGTAACTGGTAATAGTTCATGGAATCGTAAGTATTGTAAATTTCCGAGGCTTCCGAGTCATTCGTATTGCAGCCCGAGAGAACCCGAGAGCTCTCGGCTATTACCATTTACGTGATCGGTTGTCACGACTGAGGAAAATTTTACTTTAACAAAATTTAATTTAGTGTTTCAATTTTGAGCCAAAAATTCAAGCAAGTATTAGTTTTTCTGTTCTTGATTTTCAACCGCATAAACTGGCAAAGTTTGACAAGAATATTTTTTGTCGAATAATTTACGATTCAAAGACGCATTCAAATTTATCAAAATTGTGCAAACGCGTTTTGTTTTTTAAGACGTGCTCGTACAAGTTGAATAAATTTTGGCAGTAGTTTTTGATATTATACATGTTTAGCTAATCTGTTCTTTATCAATTTAGTTTGTTTTTTGATGAGAGCTCTCGTTTATGTTCTGAATAAGTAATTGTACTTTTATTGACAAATATGCAGCTTAAAAATACAAATAAATTTATACCAACAAACATCTTGACTCATTTTGGTACGATACAATTTTTGGCTTTAAGTTTGGCTTTAAGTCAGTTTTGCGCCAAAAAATATTTCAAGAGATAGAGCTCAAAAAAGCAAACTTTTGGCTAAAAAACTACCAAAATGCTTCCCTAATTTTATGACAGTTTTTTTTTTTAAAAAAAGAGAACTTTTTGTAAAACGCTCAAACCAGAGATGGGCGAACTTTCAAAAAAGTTGTCAGAAACAGTGTCTACATTTTCATCAGGTCGTTATTTGTCTTCGCGGCTGAAAATTGATGTCCTAAAAAATATATATAATTTTGTACTATGTGTAGTCCGGACTTCGCTCGCTAACTTTTATAAATTGGCTTCTCGAAGTTTATGTTTTTTCGGTTTTGTTTCGATTGAGGGATTATAGAAAGAGTTGTTCTTTCAATTTGCTGGAACTCGTCTATTTGATGAAAACTCAAAACTTGGTTTTTGGCGGTGTAGGGCCATCCCCTTTTCCTTTGCGTTTTCTTGCACACACATAGGCAAAGCAGAGTTTCGCACCAGTAGCGATATGAAAAAGATAGTCAAAAAACCACAATAAAATTTTCAAAAAACCTTATTCAAATTTCATTCGAAATAGTTGGAACATAAAACCAAATCAAATAATTCGAAACAAAAACCTGAGTTTAAAACTAAACAAGTAAACATATCGAAGCGGTTAAGAAAACTTAAAAAATTTTAAGCAACCCGAGAAAAAAAAACGGATGAAAACGCATGAATTAAAACAAACCCATTGAAATATTTTGCCTATAATGATATTTTTAAATAATACACCCCGTTAAAACGCTAAGTAGACAAATTAAGATTAAAAAGGATATGGAATTAAAACTTTATTAAATGTTTTCAATAAAAGACCTGCACTGAGAGTACGAATGATTTCACTCCGAAGGAGTGTGCATGCTTCAAGGTCAAGGTTAGATATAACCAAACAAAGTAAAGAAATGATTGATATCACAAAACTTCACTCGCTGGAGAAAAATTGAAATTAACTAAATCTATATTACTACACATATCTTTTCCCCATTCAACCGAAGAAAAAAAATTAAGAAATCACAACTAAATAGCGATTACGTCAAATGAACAATTAAGGTTAGCAGCATAATATGAGAGAAAAAATCTTTCGACGATATGTCCTAGGGATCTATTGAATGAGTAAATTAACAATTAGTCGGCGAAAATTGTAAAGGATGACATGATCGATTAATGATTGATACTAGGTTATGTCCTGAATAAAAAGTTAAGCACTGCTCCAAAGGAGATTACTAAAGTAACGAATAACTCAAGGTAATTTCATGAAAATTCTTGAGGTTCGAATCAAATTTTCTCTGACGCAAAGTTTTGTCACTAGTTTTTATCTCTAACGAAATCCTCTATTTGTGACAGTAGCTGACTCTCAGTAATTGACTCGATATCGATGTCGCTCTCTCCATCTTCTCTCTGTTCCAAAGGAATTATCAATTCCTCCTCTTCGGGTACCCAAATTGGCAGATTGGTGGCGTGGATATGCGTTGGATTTTCCTGTGACTCAATGTTTGAATCTGTAGTCGCAGCCACTCTCAGTTGAGGAGCTCAGCTGGATGAATCTGATATAGTTTCAATTGTTTTGGGTTCTTGGGTATAGTTTGGTGTATATCCAAACGATCCCTGTGGTTCTGTTGAGATTATAAAATCTATATACATATATCTGGTTAGTATACAATTTTGGGGGACCAACATTCCTACGTGGGCGCGTAGTTTTAAAGTTTGCACCTTGGTTGTCACTTTTGATTTCATAAATTGAGGAGTCCAAATCGCTGTCTCTTGACAGGTACATTGTAGTCATCAACGCCTGTGACTGTGTTGTGTCCGGCGGAGACACCTCTGATTTTGGAACTGTTATGTCTTCTGAGACAGGTCCTGTAGTGCTCTGGCTGATTGTTGATGTCGGTGGGGTCCATATTATTGAGATATGGCAATCGGAAATTGTGTCCGGATGTGTTACTGCTTCTTCACCTAAGTCTAGTATTTTAATTTTAATATTAGGGTTTGAATTTTTGCCTATTTACCAGTTTTCCTCTTGTTGAGGGCTGTCTTGTTCCAGGTTGCTAATGAAATGTTCTCTACTAACAATTCTACAAGGAAATCCTCCAATAGTCCACTCCCAATTGCTCAAATCCGAAGTATGAAATGGTAAGAAGTAAGAAAGAAGGTTCATCTTCCACTAAATAACCTGTAGGTGAGTTTTTGGTCTTCTGTTTGGTTGCGGTTCACTATTCTGCTTTAGGCCTTCTTTCTTCTTTGCCTGACATGATCTAGTAGCTTTTTTCAAAAAAGTTGTTGTGTTTGATGTAGAAGAAGAGGGAACCATTGCTACTTCAGCCTGCGTTTTTGGTCTAGGTTTCCTCCTTTGGAACGAGTGAGCGCCTGCTGGGAAACTTTGGTTAAAACAGGGTAAGGTAAGTTTTCTTTAATTGTCCGGAACATCTGTCCGTCGAATTTTAACCAGGCGATGTCAGATTTTCTCAAGATTTAATCATTCGCCAGTTTGAGATTCGGATGAACTATTAGTTTTGTCCCCATTTTTGCAGTAAAATTGTTCTCCGTATTTTCTTTCAGAAACTTTTCGGAAAAAATTATCTTTCTTTGCAGCGCCTTTCAACTCATGTCTCTGGTTTTTGGATAAGGTCTTCTTTGTTGGAGAGGAGGAATGGTCCGATTCCTAGCCCTTTTCCGACAGATCGTGGATCTTATTGTCTACCAAGAAATCCAGGTGCCCGTCTTCGATTTTGTCGTCCGCCCCCTAGTTCTTCACTCGAACATCTGATAAGATAGATTTTCTTTGATGTTTACAATGAATTGGAACTTTATCAGCTTATGTTTTCCATAAAGTATTCGGTTTTCTGCTATAGTGTTTCTCGAAAACGTTGCAGTTGATCGATGATTGAAATAGGTTCCAATTTTTTGTTTAATCCCTTTTTGAAAAATGCAGGGGAATACAATTAGAAGAGCAAAATTTTGAGCGGCTATGGTTCAAACAACAATTTTTAAGGATGAACTAACAATTTGCAATAATGAGCTGATAAGTTTATGAATTAAGATTGCATCATTGGAAAGTTACGAATTTTGGCCAATCAGATTGGTACTATTTACCAGATGAGTAGTTAAATCCGGCGGGTTTGAAAATACATCTCTTATCTTCCTTACAGGCGCTACTACACATTCTTTGTCAAAATTGGAATTTGGGGTGGTTTTCCGATTGGAATTCTGGAAGTAAGGTCGGTAAAGCCCAAGTCTTTTCACGCTAGATGTTTCACTGTTACATTAAAAGGGAGTAGTCTGTCCATACAGCGTGTCAGTTGGCTGTGGTTTGTTTTATTTCCCCCGATTATTTAATAATGCTGATAACAGAGCTTCATGCTCTGTGGTAACTTCGAAGTCCGATCCCTATAATTAATTTTTATAAATTGTCACTGCCCATACTACTCCTAAGAGCTCTAATTCGTTCGTTGAATATTTTGCGTCATGAGTGTTTCAAAGTATACATGCAAATGCGACTGTTTTCCAATCACTCCCATGGAGTTGTTCTAGGGACGCACCGAGACCACTGTGAGAGGCGTCTGTTTTTACTCTTGGTTTGTACTTTACTATTTTTCACTAGTTTCACAATTTCATATGCTAGAATGACATTTTTGGCTAGTCGAATTGTCTAGAGTAAGTTAGCTGTAAGCATTTTTCATTTTTTTTGGTGAACCAAACATCTCCTTCGGAAACTTCAGCACTTTTCGCGGCTACATTGTCTACTAATTCTTGTATATTTGGCATCTGATTTAAGAATTTTGAATCGAGAGCCAATTCAAAAGATTTGTCCTTCATGCAGGTTATGACGATAGAACTTACAAAATGATACTTCTCACAGGTTTCCATTTTCCTTATTAGTCTTTGTAATACTGTTTCACTGCCGAAAAAATGTTAAGGAACTCTTCTCAACTTTAGCTGTATTGGTCTTAGGGGGCTGTGGAAATGTGTATATTTTGATTGGTTTTTTTCCCGATTCATTCGAATAAGTTTTTGAAGTTGGGCGCGATATTATTTACATCTTGGTTAACAATTTCTATATTTTTTACTGGTAAGTTTGATTTACGCTTGCTTGATATCAAATCCGATTTCAGGTACGGGAAGGCCGTCTGTGTTACTTCTATGCCCGCCTTCGGAAGATTATCGTTTTTCTAATAAAGAATGGTGCGTATTCGTGAGCCCATCCGTTGGATCTTAACGAAAGCTCTATCTTTCCAATTATTTTTATCGCGTCAACTGTAAAACCGCAGTAGAGGTCCTTTGTTGCTTGATCGACTAGTAGTAGGGATCCCTTAGTTTCAGTTTGTGGATTACGTTCTTCTTTGGGAAATTAATTGGGCTGGTCCAGTCGATTTGACTTTTCATCATATTAGGTTCTCCTTTCCTAAACCAATGCTCAACAATTTCTTCAATTATTTTCCGTCAAAACTAAAAAACGTGGTTTCATTTAAACTGAATAGTCGTCATTGTCGCTTATTTCAGCTTCTGTCGGTGCGTTGATAACTTTTTCACATTATCTACAGAATTTTGTCCCGATTGCTGAATTGGAGACTGTACATCATTTTTCCAAAAGTAAAGTTATCGACAATTTTCACAATTTTTCTTTTAGATATACAGTTTTTTGTAAAATGGCTCTTGAAGTTACAAGCTCTACAATGTGAGTCTTTTGCTGGACATAATGCGAGTTGTCATTCCGTAAACTTACCGCCACACTCCACACAGAGTTTTCCCTTTCTACATGCAAAATTGGTTCTCGTTTTGTTTTTGAACTCCGATGAAAATTTTAATGATAACTCTGCGCTTTTGAGGTGTTGGTCATTTTAAGGTGATTAGATTCCGCTTTCTCGTCTAACAGGGCTAAATTTAGTGCGTCCTACGTTGGGAGTGCTTCCTTTAACAATATCATGCATTCTCATATTGTTGGTGAATACGTCACCAACCCAATCTTCTTCTCCGCTGGATGAATCAAACTTTTTGGCCATTTCCGCAAGTGCTCCCAAGAATTGTTTCAGACTCTCTCGATCTCTTTGGCTTCTTTTCAACAGCTTGTGAAGTTTAAAGATGGTGTTTGGTTTTCTAATGAAAGCGAGGTTTGAGTATTCCCAAAACTTTTGATAATTAGTCCGAAGGACTTTCTTTTAGCGAATTTCTGGGCAAAGATTCTTTTGCCTTCGGGTCCCAAAGAGAAAAAAAGCATGGATCTGATCTTTTTGTCCATTTCCTCTTGTATCATGCCGCCAAACAATTTTAGCTCTGCTTTGATTAATGCGATTTCTTCGTCTACCTATCTTCGTGTTTCCTCGAGATTCCTGGCAAGTCTTGCTTCTTTGTCTTGTGTCTTTTCTATTTCTGGGGTTTCTTCGCATACAGCTGGAGTTGCTATTTTTCGATCCAAAGGATTGATAAAATTGCCGGTTTCTACGTTTTATTCGGCTATCGATGCCAATTGAAACATGTCACTCCAATCTTCCCAGGGGATAGGGGGGTCGATGGTGTGACTTTGCCAGATTCATTGCATGACTACGCCATATTAAAATATTAAAACACAAAACCCCGTTAAAACTCTAACTTGATTAACAAAAATAGAAAGGATGCGGAATTAAAGCTATTTTGAAAAAGTCCTATAAAATATGTACAATGAGCGTACGGTTTCACTCTGAAGTAGTGTGTTTGCTTCAAGGTCATGGTGAAAATTACAAAGAGGAATCAAACTGCAGAACTACGTTAACCAGAGCAATAACTTCAATCCACACTAGCTGCCTAAATCGATCTGCTGAAGCTTGTGGTAGCTTAACAGTTAGACTATAAATAAAATGTCTATGGATAATTCAACTCTGACAAAAAACTTTTGCATAAATTTATAAATCAGTATTATCTATCATTTATATATCTTAAAATTATTTTTGCATAAAATATTTATCAGTAGTTCCAACTGCTAAAACTATAAAAAAGTATGAAATTAAAGTAAAAGTTCATTTGAAAAAGATACTTTTTTGTTGAATGAAACAAAAACTAATTGAAAATTGCAAAAAAAACATCATTTAAATTATTTCTGCAGACTCAAAACTTGCTTCCAAAAACTCCAATTTCAAGGAACCAGTTTCGAGGAACAAACCAATTTCAAGGAACAGCACAGCTTAGAGGTGGTGCCTGGAAAATAGGCCATTATCATTTAAAGACTCAAAATTTAAGAAATGCTAAATCCTGAAAATATCATTTAACCTGCACTATATATTGTGCAATCAAATAAAAAACTAGACTGACGAAAAATTACAAAATGCTGAAACATGAGCACTTCAAAACAGTTCGAATTCTTTTCGATTTTTTTTATCGAAAACTTCTGAGAAGTTAATTTTGAAATTTTAAAGTTTTTTTTTCATTAATTTGGCCAGCTTCAAAAATATTGTAGATAAAAAGTCATCGGCAGTTAAATCGACAGAATTAAAACCGACGCTAAATTAGCCGAGAGGACTAAGGTATGTGTTAACTGATAATTTTTTTACTCAAGCTCATAAATAAAGTTTCAAATAATTTTCTTTATACACAAGTAAAATGAGAAAACATGAAGATATAATAGGTTTTCAAAACCAAATAATTAATTTAATTTTGGTTACAAATGATTTTTTTGCAGATTAAAATTGTTTCACATGCTTTTACATACAACACTTTTTTTTAGCACCAAGTAGCACTACAACTTGTAAAGTCCAAATAATAAACACATTTGAACAACTTTTTTGAATTTTCATTTGTAAAAGGAAAATTCATTCTTCGGCTCCATTGATTTTTTCACCGCTATTAACTCCATCATAAAACTTTTTCGCCCGACAAAATTCGACTTATTTTTCATGCATTTTTTTGGCGACACATTTTGTAAAGTCTAAAAAATTTTGATACCTGACCTTGAAATCAAAAGATTTTTCACCTGCTATCAATTTCATGAAAAAATTAAGGTTTGAATTTCTGATTATTTTGGCCGATGAGGCATAATTAAGGCGTCCTTATTATCAGTTTTCTATTTACTTGTTGCAGGAGCGACAAACTAAGTCGGCTCAGAAATCATGCCAAATCATAGAATGATGCGCTCTTTAAAGATTTAGTTATGATACTGGAAGCGTAGCGCGGAATACTTTTGAGATTTGAATTATCCCGCACTCAAAACGAGTTTAAAATGATTTGCGGCAGGCTAATTGGTCTATTGGTTTCCTTTTAATTTCAAGTATTAACATTTTTTCCACCTCATGTGGAAAAGACGATGAGCAAATAATTCAATTCTAAGATTTTTTCAAAAAGTCTTCTTGTTCCGATTTTTAAAGATAGGATGGAATATTTGGGCTCGGATAACTCTGAAAATAAAAACTCCGTTCGAAAACGACTAGTTAAAAAGCTAGTCGTTTTCGAACGGATTTTTTTTTCATCTGAAAAATATATGCGCCCTGAACTCAAATAATGACAATTTAGGACTAAAACGCGCGATTCGATTCATGCTATTAAGAAGCGAATGCGGCGATTTAATCTATCTCAGAAGTCGTTCCAAACTGGCTTGAGGAAAGCAATTTGGATCTACTAGTGCGTTGCTAGACGCTAGACGCTACTTACATCATTTTGTATTTTATAGATTGTAAGGTAAGCTTTGCAACAAAAAACTGAAAAAAAACTGAAAGTTGATCAACTTTTAAACTTTTAAAAGATTAATTAATCGCAGGACCTTAAAGGGTTGTCGAAATATCCATGGGTTTGCCCCGATACGAGCAGTCTTGCTTTAATTTAATTTTTGTTATTCTATTTGTGAGACGCTTGAAATCAGTTCATTCGTCTTGTTGCAAAATTTTTCGGTTGAAGTGGAGCATTTCTTCAACCAGTTGCATGAACAATTTTGAATCAGTCATGTTTGAAGTGTGAAAAGACGACACTGCGAAAGTGATTGAATCTGATTGAATATTGTAGCAAACGCCAGTGCAGTCGGGAGAAATGGGCCCGAACACCAAGAAGCAGTCGTCGTCCGACGGAACCTGAAATTATTCGAATCCTTTGGTGGCCATAGTTTTTTCTGAAGTTTATGACCATATTTTTTTTTCATATTATTAGCATGATAATGTTTGGTTGCTAGCTTAGCTGTTAGGAAATCTTTAGACTCCGATGGCCTTGTAGTTGCCCGAAAAAGGTACTGACCTGACTAGTAGACAGCAATATCTCTGAGAAGTAATCGTGAAACTGTTCCTTGAATAGCTGTGGTTGTTTGAGAGTGGGATCCTGACTGGCTAATTCTCTGTGTGCCAGCTTCAGTCCCAGCAGGTGTCTGTCTACTCCCTCCATTTTCATCACTTCCCTCGTGTACTGAGAGTGGGCTCTGATAGCACTTTTTAGGAGGGGCTGTAGACTTGGATCCTCAAAAAAGTACTGGCGATGTTAAAATCTTTTTAGTTGTTTGGCGCGGTGTATAAATTACTCGAATTTAGAGCTCTAAATGCGTTTTGGGCAGTTGTGAGAGTGAACCTTCAAACAATTAAAATCGAGTATTTTAAACGCCGCGCCAAACAACTAATCATATGTTAAATGAGTTGGCGTAGGATCCAAAAATGGTATCTGTGGTGTGGGGAGGCGGGGGGTGGGGGGGGGGGGGACGGTCCTCAGGGATTCGACCCCCTGCTGGCCCAAAGGGTCCCCCCTTTGTACTATTTTGATTTTGAGATATCCATTTTTGGTGACGGAACCTAAAATTTTTATAAAGGCTCCTACGGCGCCAATATATACTAATTTTGAGGGGGGGTGGCGCCGAAAAAACGCGATTTTTTGGTCAAAACTTTCCAAAAAGTGCCTAAAAACGCCTTGTTTGGACTGTTTTTTCAAATTTTGCCTGCGGCGCAGAAAATTTGGCCCAAACAGGTAGTAAACCGTGCTTAAAGAGAGCTCGAAAAAGTCGACCTATAAAAAAGGTCGACAAAATTTTCGATAATTTTTGAAAATCCGCACCCCTCCCTCGAGAAAATCCTAGATCCGCCCCTGGGTGTGGGGGATGTTTTTTTGATCTAAGTACACACAATTATAAGGTGAAAAAAATATATATTGAATTAATTTTTAATGCATTTTGTGAAAAATGATGTTCAAAGGCTCAACTCTGTTGAAGTCGTAATTATTGCTTATGGAAGATCTCACGAATTTTACGCATCTCACGAAAATTTTTGCGACAATTTTAAAAAAATAAAAACCCAAAAACAATTTTTTGTCTATTTTTTTTGCAATTATGACGAGGGTCGAACTTTCTGGCTTGTTGAACAGCAACCGGGTATGCTTTTATTTTTTTTTCAATTTACTTGAGCAGAGGCGCGTTTAAATTTGAAAAATTTAAAAGCTGTTTTTGTGAAGGTGCAACAAAACTAAATTCATACTGATTGAAACACCTGGATGAATCAATTTAGTCAGTAGAGCTAATATTATACTCGAAATTTTTCTTATTCTGCACAATTTATTCCGCCCTTCTTATTCCTCTGTCAAAATATGAAAAGAGCCTTGAAAGGCTATAATCTGATTCTTTGCATGCAAGGCAATCGCACAAAACTCACTTAAAAAGGATGGGTTGAAAAAATCCCGAGTGAAATCAGTACAAAATCCGAGAAAAATCTGTCAACCAATCAGAATTCAAAGTTCAAAAAATTCAGTTCTGAAAAATTTGAAGGATGTTTGATTATTTGAGAATTATAGCTCATTTGTTCATTCCGTTAAGAGAATATTCCTCCAAGAGGGGAATAGTTGAAGAGATTTAGATCATTTTATTCTAACTGTGTTGTCCGTCTTTGCAGCAGCTCTGCACAGCTGTAGGGCTTCATTGGTGGCTGATCTGATGGTTTCTGTTCGACCCCACCTGTAGCTTTTCAATGATCCACTCTCGTAAGTGGGAACCAACAGCTGCTGACTCGCTTCTACATCTAACAGATTCTGCCGATATCTAGATTAAAAAATGGACATAAAAAATTGAACACCCAAAATTGACCAATTAGACTTATTATTCCATTACATATTTTGAAAAAAAAAAGTGTTTACCCCTAAGTAAAAATAGTCAATTTCGATTGGTTGAACTTTGAAAAGACGAATCAAATTAACATTCATATCCACAAATCACTTTAGGGTGACGGATGTTAACTTGAGCCAAAAAAAATCAAAATCAAGACAGAAAAAGACGAAATTAAACAATTTAAAAATCTGAAAGAATGGAAACTCCGTGAAGAAGAAATTTTGAGCGCAAAACTACTCACACTGACAAAAATGAATTAGGATCATTTTTAGTTAAATAAATGTTTTAAGATTTATTTGAGATCGGAATTAGTAAAAGAAAATTACGAAGAATAAATAGAAGTTAAGAATGATTTGGATCAATTTTAAATCGATGTAAAATGATCTTAAATCCCAGCTAAAAAATCGATCCAAATCGATTTTAAATCGATTTAGATCAACTTTTTAGCTGGAATTTAAGACCAGCTTACATCGATATAAATCGACTTAAACCCATTTTTCTTCAGTCTCAACTTGTTTCGGTTTAAAACGGATTTGAATCGACTTACGTCAATTTTTTCATTCGAAAATCATCAGTTTTCAAATTGTGTTGGATTCAGTCAATGCCCATCATTTTAAATTTTAAATCCATAGCGTATGCAGTAGCATAATACAAAGACGAAATTATTTTTTATATGTTGATAACATTTTATGATTTCATTGCATATTTTTGAGTTCTTATATTGACCATTTTCTTAATTTTTCTACAAAATTTTCTGCTCAAAATTTTATTTTCTGGGACCGTTTTCTTTAGCTTTACAATATTTAGCACGTTTCTTTTTATTTTAAATATCAAGCAAAAGACTTCAATTGTTTTCTAATATCATGTTTTTTCGTCACTTAAACTTTTCTGCTCAGAGGTCTTTTAAAAAGCATTTACATAGATTTTAGTGAGATTCAGATGGATAAAAGTGAGACTTAGAAAGATTTTAGGGAGTCAAAAACCCATCCAAATCGATTTAAATAGATTTTTTAGACACTTATATTGATCCAAATTTTTCAAGAAAGATCTAATTAGATTGATTTAAAATCCATTTCAGTTCCTGAAATGTTCATTGTTGATCGATATAAATTTTTTCGCAAGATTGCCGTAAAATAAAAGAAGGTGATCATTAGAACGTGATCATTAATCATAAATAAAAGAACGTGATCATTAATCGTTTTTAATGGATGCATTATATGGGGCAGACAATTACGACAATTATTAATCAATTATATTTTCTTTCCTTAAAAGCAAAATATAATCAGTTATCATACAAATTACTCGATTATAATCGATTTTCATCCATCTATTTTTCGTAACAGTTAGAATCGGTTATTTTTTCCCAATTTGTTATTTATTTGTTATGCACAAAAAAAATCCATTTTCATCGATTATATTTGATTTAATGTCTTTAGTTTGCCCATGTTGTCTTCTGATTTTGCATCTGAGCAGCTTTTTTTGTATTTTTTTTCAAAAGCGTCGGTTTATGTGACAAATTGAAAACTCGTTTTTAGCACTTTTTAATTCTTTTTAAACCTATATGTTTTTTTGTTTTTTGAAGTAAGTTTGTTAATGAGGCAAATTTATTTTGTTGCCCTCGAAATTTTCTTCACGAAGTTCAAAAAATAATAACCTACAGAAAATGAAAGAATTTACTTTTTTATTTTACTTATATTTTAAGGGACAAAAGAGAGATAATAATCGATTATAATTGATTTTAATTGATTTGAACCGTTTTCTGTATGAATTATATTCTATCATAATGGATTACAAAAGAAAGAAATCTCCTGGAAAAAATCACGATTATGATCAATTATAAATCCTTTGAACACCAAACTTTGGTAACTATAGTCAATTATAATTGTTCAAAAAAATCAACATGTTAATCGGTTATAATCTTACTTAGGAATAAATTATAGGCGGGTACGTCTCAAATTACTCAAATGACAAATACCGACAGCTCATCAGGTAGACAGTAGATAAAATAAGGCAAACATCGAATTGTCTTAATAGTATCGATATAAGAAAATACACATGCGGAAGAACTATAAAAGCATTCAGATAAAAATTAAAACGTAAAACAAGACTACTCGTATCAGGGCGAAGCCCTGAATGTTCCGGCTGCCTTTCAAGGTATATGAAGCAGTAATAACATGAAAAAATTAAAAGTAAAAAAAAAAGAATTTAATATGAAAAAAAAGTGTAAAAAATTTTGAGATTATTTTGTGAGAATCATTCCCCCACAGGCCATATAAAGAACAAAGTGATAAACTTCGCTACTAGTAGCAAATCAATTATGGTGAATAAGCTTCCTTCAACCAATTTGGAACAATTTCCAAGACTGATTAAATCTCCGCTTACACGTTTATAGGGCGAAATATATCGCGCGTTAATTGTCCCAAATTGGCCAAAATGCCACTCTTTAAACCGCCATAAATTTACAAAAAATGATCACAGGTAAAATATCTTTTCAAATTTAAGCTCAGGACAACAATATCTTTTGAATGATAATAAAAAATGCTGTCAAAAATGGCTTGTTAAAAAGTCGAATTTTTTCTGAACAAAAAAAACCCACCCTGAGAAAAAATATTCCGTTACTTTCGTATCGAAAGTCGGAACAATAATGCAGCCATAAATTAAATAGAAAGAAGATTCCCTGCTGCCTATGCGGTGGTTAGTGTTTGGTTTCACCAGCCATTGCAGGTTTCAATAATTCACTATCTATTTATGTGGCAATCAGCGTTTGAAGCAAAACAGTTCCAGTACAAGATATTGTAAAATGATTTTTAAGCGGATTAACTTAAAAACGCAAACATTAAATTGTGAAATAAAAACTGAGTGATTAAAAACAAAGAATCTGAATAAACCTAAGAGTTAAATCAATGTAGACTGAGTGCAACATAGTCAGGATCTCGTTAGCTGTTTTCTCCCCTCCCCAATTTGGTATACCTTTTATACCTTTTAACTAATTGTCACCCCGTTAGAGAAGTAGCTCAACGTTTAAGCATATGTGAAATTTGAACATAGTAACGAATCTCTCTTTTGTAAAAGAGAGAAATAACTAAAAGGATACCATAACAAGACAAGACTGCTACTATCAGGGCGAAGCGCTGAATGTTCCGACTGCCTTTTAAGGTTTATGGAGCAGTAGTAACATTAAAAAAATAAATGTAATAAAATAAAATGAAAAAATTTTTTTCTAAAATTTGAACTTTTTTTATGAGATCATACCCCCACGCGCCATATAAAATACAAAAGAATAAATTTCGTTCATTGTAACAAATCAACTATGGCAAATAAGCGTCTTTCAACCAATTTGGAACAATAATGCAGCCATAAATTAAATAGAAAGAAGATTCCCTGCTGCCTATGCGGTGGTTAGTGTTTGGTTTCACCAGCCATTGCAGGTTTCAATAATTCACTATCTATTTATGTGGCAATCAGCGTTTGAAGCAAAACAGTTCCAGTACAAGATATTGTAAAATGATTTTTAAGCGGATTAACTTAAAAACGCAAACATTAAATTGTGAAATAAAAACTGAGTGATTAAAAACAAAGAATCTGAATAAACCTAAGAGTTAAATCAATGTAGACTGAGTGCAACATAGTCAGGATCTCGTTAGCTGTTTTCTCCCCTCCCCAATTTGGTATACCTTTTATACCTTTTAACTAATTGTCACCCCGTTAGAGAAGTAGCTCAACGTTTAAGCATATGTGAAATTTGAACATAGTAACGAATCTCTCTTTTGTAAAAGAGAGAAATAACTAAAAGGATACCATAACAAGACAAGACTGCTACTATCAGGGCGAAGCGCTGAATGTTCCGACTGCCTTTTAAGGTTTATGGAGCAGTAGTAACATTAAAAAAATAAATGTAATAAAATAAAATGAAAAAATTTTTTTCTAAAATTTGAACTTTTTTTATGAGATCATACCCCCACGCGCCATATAAAATACAAAAGAATAAATTTCGTTCATTGTAACAAATCAACTATGGCAAATAAGCGTCTTTCAACCAATTTGGAACAATTTCTAAGACGGATTAAATCTCCGCTTACGCGTTAATAGCGCGAAATATATCGCGCGTTAATTGTCGCAAATTGGCAATCTTTAAACCCCCATAACTTTACGAAAAATGACGTTAGTTGTCCCAAATTGGCCAAAATGGCAATCTTTAAATCTTTAAACCCCATAACTTAAAAAAAAATCACAGGCGAAATATCTTTTCAAATTTAAGCTAAGGACAATAATACCTTTTGAATGATCTAAGAAAATTTCCGTCAAAAATGACTAGTTAAAAAGTCAAAATTTGTCTGAAGAAAAAACCCACCCCGAGCACAAATATTCCGTTAATTTCGTATCGAAAGTCGGAACAATAACGCATTCGGGTTGATGCGTGCTGCTTGGTTGCCAGTACCAAAACACTAGTTGCTTATAAATAAGGCGCAGAGGGAAGGGGTGTAACCTGTCATTCCCACAGCATCGAATTCCCAAAAACTTTATTTAGTCAGCCAATCAGAATAGAGTATTCAAAATTCTGAACAAATATAAGCTGGAAAAGGAACGATTGTTGTTTGAAAGTCTTAAACATTCTGTCACTTCTGCATGAGAGTAGCGTCTACCAGTCCACTGGATGATAGTAAAATTTGGCCTTCTCTTTTTTTGCTTGCGGCTTTTGTGACAAATCTTGAATCTACTTAAGAATTATAAATTATCCTCTTTCAAGCAGGTATTTCAAGTCAAATTTGTGTCCCATTAGAACTCAGCGAAAACTGAATTTTAAATAGAAAACTCAAACTCTAGTGCTAATTGACAGCTTTTATTTATAGAAGTGGCAATTTTTTAGTAGATATCATAGGGGGTAATTGTTAAGTACACTGCACAAATCTTAAGTGAATGAATTTATTTCTCATGGAAAAAAGCAAAAAGCAAATCGTTACGGTCTGAAGCTTTTTTTGGTTTATGACAATATTTTCTCAAATTCATTCCGTCTGTTATTCTAATAAATCAGAGCTCGACCGAAACGAACACAAAAAAGTATGCGCTGTCATCTCTAAACGCAAGCCTAGGTCACTTATGGTCGGGCTATCTGAGAAAGATTTTCGGTTGAATCGTAACCTGAACATGGCCAGCTGAAGCGAAACTTGGAAGAATGCATCTGGACTGAGATTCAGTCGCTTAATCACTTCCTTGCCAAATGATGTAAAGAAACACACCTCCAGATCCAGATCAGCTACAACCCTGGAAAGTTGATTACTGGTTAGGAAAAATTTCTTCTTCTGCAAAAGGCGCGGACTCCCCTACTAGTTTATTGATCCAATCAGATTGCAGATTTTTTAGAAAACTAAAAGCAATAAATCACCCGCATAACGTTTTACTTGATGAAAAAACTGGACTTGTTCACAAAGAACATATAAAGGGTGGATCTTTGTTACAGAAGAGAACCCGGGGGCATTATTCAAAGGTGCCGGAGTACAACAGTTCCAAAAGTGAAAGTATGGTCGACAGTGCCGAAATTTTTTAAGTATGTGGAATACGTTATGAGCAAAAATTTGAAATTTTTGCTCGCCAAAAAAATCTAGAAAGCCTTTCTGTTCTAAAAACTGGCTTAGCGACCAAAATCAAAATTGAAAAAAAAAATTCTTCAGTTTGGATTTTTTGTATGGAAAAAAGCTCATCATACAATTTTCATAAATGGAATTGAATGATAAGCTTTTTTTCGTATAGAAGTCAACCAGGGTTTTGCTTCAAATCAAAAAGATTCAGATTCACGAATAAGCTCCGAAATTTTGAATTCATTGTACGGGATCAACTGTTCAACCTCTTCAATTGGTAAAAATTTTATAGTAGAAAAGATATATTAATTTAGGTGATTCAAAGCATGCAAATGAAATCCTTACGCGGGCGGGAATTTAAGGTTGATCCTTGGTACTCACTTGTCGACTTCTTTTACTGCGTTCTCAATTATAGTTTGTAAATCTAGAATCGCATCGAAGTTGAAGATCAGTGGTTTGACTGAATCGGAACTCTTTGAAATATCCCGCTTCGCCGTGTGATCAAACTCAACTGTTTCCCTAAACAGAAAATTGATAGCCTGTTGCTCTGCAATAAGCACAAAGTGTTCTAGAAGTGAAATAGCTATCACATTAGTTACGAAATTTAATAAAATCGGAAACAACCTTCTTTTCTGAAAAGTCGGAACTCTTTAACTATTCCCCCCTTTGGTATCTAATAGCGAATTGCCGCCCCTAAAATGAATTGACTTAGCATAAACGGTTGAGCAGATGCGAACTTGTACATAGCAACGATCCCTCCCCCTGTTGTAAAAGAGAGGGGGAATTATTAGAGATCCGAAAACTCTTCGAGATTAATACAACAATTTTTTTGTTTTTGCGGGTCTTCTTACTTATTCCGCCCAAAATCATCATTTCAGCATTTTGAACTGAAACTGTTTTGCTTCAATCTTATTGGCTAGAATCAGCCAATCAAACTTCAGTGCCATTTCAAAATGGTTTGTTCACAATTTTAAGTCGAATTATAAATAAGCCGAATTGGTCTAAAATGAAGAAGAATGTTTGGCAAACTATTCAAAGTTATTTCAAATTTGCTCCAGAGTTTTACCCAGAGTAGAAAAAAAACACAGAAAACAGCTCAAAGGAAAAATGATCACTTTCGTATCTGCGCAAAATTCGGCCTTGTTAGAAGTCGGCTTAAGAGTAAAGTGATCGCATTTGTATTAAACAAATCAACCAAAACTATCAGTGTTGCACTCAGGATTTATACATGGAAGATTGTGCGGAATAAGTAAAAAGACCCGTTTTGCTTTCTTTTTTCCAACTGATAAAACCTGTAGCCGACGATTTTGCAGACTATAACTTCCAAAACGGATCACATGGCTATTTCTGCTTTCCACTTGAAAAACGCTGCGTCATCTCAGATAAAATTAAAGTGAGATAACTTGGTCAAATTTTTGAGACAATTCAGTCAAAGACATTTGGTCAGTATTGCCAACTAACGACAGGTGTCGTTCGGGGGCTATTTTCATGCGCAAAGGACCGAATGGGCGAAAAAACTCGTCGTGGGAGAAGGACCGAAAACAAAATGAGCCAAAAGTCGATTTTTAAAAAGAAGCAATTGCGGAACTAGTTAACTTCTTTGGTCCCGTGACAAAACTGGTTTACATGATTGGTCCCGTCAATTGAATAAAAACAAAAGCCATCATAGAACGGGATTCGCACCCACGCCTTGTCTTTGATAGCCGCATTCGAACCCACTACAGTAGCTAGGCTGCTACTACTACTCCTGTAGGCCTGTATTATTACGTCGGTGGTTTCCTCTCGTATAATCAATAAAAAATGCAAAACAACTCTGTTTTTATTAGGGACCACAACATTTTCGAGGGACCAAACAAGTAAACTAGTATCGCAATTGCTATTCAACTAAAATGAATTAAATGAAGCAATAATTTGCTTCTTTCATAACGAAGCGCTTGAAATATAAAATGTGTTCCAATTCGGCAGCGGTCAGTGACAATTTGAAAATTTTGCATATTTCTGCCGTTTTTATATTCGGCCGATATCAATATTCAGTCCCTGGAAATGTTTAGTTTTTTTTCCAAATTATAGATTACTGAAATCTGATTAGCTGATTTTTATTTTCGCGCATTCAGTCTTTCGCGCATGTGGGATTCCACCGAGTTGCTCCACTTCTCTTCGCTGCTCTCACATTCGGAATCATAGGTACTCTGTGGATGACTTAAGGTTTGTCGGTAATCTAGATTGTCTAGTGTTTCAATTAGAAACTATCTCCTTTATATTTGTCTGAATTGTCCTGAACTGAGTTTTGTCACTTTTTTGGCTAAATTGACCTAATTTAACATTAGCCGACTTTCTCCCTCTGAATTGCTGTACACAAGCTTGCAGTGGAAAGTATTCACTGGCGTCTAAATTATCTGGTTTTTACTAAATTCTAGTCAAAATAGCAAACAATTTAGGCCAGTTTCTCGTCACGGATTTTAAAAAAATTGTTTGGAGTTTAAAATTTATTAAATTGAAAACTGATATCAACGGAAAATGAAGTTTTTCACTGGCTGAAAACTTGATCGGAATATTTTTTGTAATTATTAAAATTGAGCGATGAAAAGCAACCTGTCTAATAGTTCCTTCACACAGCGTGATAATTCATGACAAGAACATTAAAAGTTGCAATGTACCCAACAGCCCGTAAAATAATCAAGTAAAGGATTTTTGTTTCTATACAAGCGTCTGATTTTACACTAGTGTTGGCAAACCAACTATTAAAAAAAACCTTGTAAACCAATATGGTTTTGAAACGTCTTATCAAAATTTTAGAACTATCTTGCGTGAGTGCGAAGAAAGTTAGAACAAAATTCCCGAGACTTTTTATTTATACCAAAAAATCAAACACTTTCCTAGGCCTTCGTCGCCAATTTGGATTAATTTTGAGGGAGAGATTTTTTGGTCGAAATTTTCCAAAAAGTGCCTAAAACCGCCATTTTTGGCCTTTTTTCAGAAATTTTGATCAATTTAGGGTCTTTGTAGTGACTTGGGAGAGTTCAGAAAATCCATTTAATTTGGTAGACCTAAAAAGAAAAAAAAGGTCGACTTTTTTTCAAATTTTTTTTCGAAAATCTGCCCCTCCCCTCGAGAAATTCCTAGATCCGCGCCTATCTGTTTTTTATACTTTTTTCTACAAGTTTTTTGTATTTTTTCCAGAAAATTTGGAAACACTTATCTGATAAGCAATTAAATTTTGATAAATAATTAATTATGGAAAAACATACAACATCATTTATTCGTTCACATCATTTGAAACAAATCTTAGAAGATTATCAGGTCTTGCGATCTGTTTTTACTCTTCTTAAAAAGAGCAAAAACTGCCAATGAAAAAAAATTTACAATACTCGCTCAAATTTTGTAGAAAGACAAAAAAATCAAATAATCAATCAATTTTGCGATACAAAGTGTTAACCATGATGATGTCGAGTAAATTGCTAAGGACGAAAAAATAATAAAAAAGAAGGAGAAAACTATCAACATTTTAGCTCTATTTCAACTATTTAGCTAAAATTTAAAATCTAAAAATCACGTGTTCACTATATTAAATTATCTAAAAGTATTGAACAAGATGGTATCCGAGAGAAATTAAGGTTACACTTTGATTTGTTTCTTTTTTATCAGCTAATTATTTGATCATCTTTTTATCGATTGTAATGATAAAACGCTTCAATGATTTGCTCTCTTGTTCAGACGTTTCAATGATATTTTTATTTTGTGATTTTTGGTTTCAGGATACTATTTCTTTTCTCTCCATTAAATGATCGCTGTAAGTTAGCTTGGTTCATTGCTGACTTCATAGCTTTATTGATTGAATCACCTCAACAATTTTCTGCCATGGCCAATCAACTGTTTTACATGTAGATCATGAAACGTAAACAATTTCCGCGCTCATCGTATTTCGTACGCACCGTCAAATGTTTGAAGGTTTCAGCATAAAAAGCTTAAGTTTTCAAGACTCAATAGGAAGCCTATTATAGGTATTAAAAGTCCCCACAAATTGTTAACTCAATGTATACAGAAAGTTAGCGCTTCTTGCTAATTTTCTCTGAAGATTTAAAACTTGCTCTTTAAATTTCAAATTGCAATCAAAAACTAAATTAAGATGGAAAACGCAATAAATTTGATCAAATTGAAAATCTCCAAAACTGGCGATCTGGATGTAGTTTTTTTGTTTTTTAACAATCTTAACACTTTCTGTGATTTGCTAATTTTTACCAGTTTAGTAGTAGAGAAACAATTTTTTCAAAAAATTTTTCTCAAATATGTATCTTAAGTTTTTTGAAAGGGTTTCTCATCCAAAATTTTCTGTTATAACCTTGTGATCTGCAAACCAATTTACTTACAAGTATTTTATTTTATCGGAAAGATCAATTTTAGAGAGCAGGAAAATATGGGACCGATGACAGAACCTTGTGATAGTCTAAATCATAGAGTTTTCAGATTTAATTGCTTGTTTTTGCCTAAATTTGATATAAGTAGAACATGCTTTGGCCTGCACAGTCTATGATTGAAACACTTTGTTACCTCTAGTTGCGTGGATTTCGTTTTCTCGTTTTAATTAAAATCTTTTTCTTTTTTCTGATAGACATTTTGCCAGTCTGACGAAACCTTGTTCTTTTTCAATTGTTCTTGAAGAATGTTTCTCTAAAAATTGCCGAAAAAAGCAGTAGTGATCGAGGACAGTAGTGTGAAAATCAAACTTTGAAACCGTAGTTTTGTAAAATGAAAATTTTTTGCAGTTTTCCGACTGGACTCAACATTTTCCGTCTTAGCTTTGTGCAGTGCATTTTCATAATTTTCATCAGTTTGTTTCTAAAACAAAATAAAATATCGATAGTTTGTTTTCGATGTTTAACAAAGTATCGAACTTATCGCCTAATTTGTCAGCAAGAGAAATAAAATTTCAACACTTCTGAGTTTTTTTGTATCATCTCTGCGAATTTTTTGTTCTCCAACCATTTTTTTTTCATTTTGCTTTGAATTAACCCTTCATTTGTTAAGATTGAAAGCTTGAAGTTTCCTAATGTTTTCTTGATTTTAAGATGATTTTTCGATTTATTCAAATTTTACTTTTTTCTAAATTTCCTACTCTCTAAGATTTTCTAAAATTCCAAAATTCTTTGTTTTAAATTTGTATTCAAAGTATCAATGTACCAGATTTTTTTATTGAGCGGTCAAACAGAAAAACACTAGATTTACTTTCAAATCTTTGAAGTTGCTTTCATTTGTCTGTAACTAATTTTGCCACCGAAGCACTCGGTTTTATTTTTGGTTCTTTGATTTAGTATTTCTTCAATTGGAAAATTTTGTCTCTTTTCTTGATGAATCTGTTTTTTTACTTGTTTAATTTAAAAAAAAAACAATAATTGTATTATGATCTCACATTTCAGATTTGTGGTTAGCTGTAACTCGATAGTTTGCCAAACTAAGTTGAAAAATGCAGCAAAATTTTTAATTTCAGTAGTTTCAGTAATTCCGGGCTCTCCAGTGCACAACATAATAAAATGCTAAGCGGAAGTCTGATAAATCATTTTTTTTCTAATTTTTCTCAATTTTCAAGGCGGGCCAATACGTTGCCATTTTTTCATAGAAATCGTCTACTTTACCGTTTGGACTCATGCATAAACTCCCAGCTTTTCTCCGAAATTTTCTTTGACCTTGTCCTAATGGTTAATATATGAGTTTAAACTCTGAGTCTGATTAACTTCTGTCGGTAAAAAAAAAACTAACTATTTTTGTTCAATTTGCTTTTTTGTTTAAGGTTATTCACATTTGCTACTGTAAATTGCTATCTTCACTCAACTTTGAATTTAAACTTTTTTCGATAAAATTGCACGCTATGGTTCGGGCAGTATATCGAACAAAAAATTGCAAACTAAATATTTTCCTGCTATAAATTTTATTCCCGATGAGGTTTTTTCTCTCCCGTGACATAAGATTCCGCGTAATTATGGCTTCAAGACCAAAATTGATAAATTATTAAATGGATTTCATCACAATTGTGACTTTGAAGTGTTTTTGATAGTTTGCCTATTCCAGCACCATTTTTGCGGATTACACTGACTCTGTAATCTTTCGGTTGCTTCACAATCAGGTTTGAAAATAACAACAGCAACTTCTTCGCTCGACTTTTCTCATTAATATTCTTACGTCAATTAAAGAAATTTAAAACTTCAAATTAAAATTCATGATATACTCAAGCCTCATATATGTCCTAGAGATAAAAATCAAAGTCAGAAAACCTGAACAAAACGGCAAATGACCAGCCGCAAAAGGTTATAGCAATACCAGCGACTTTTGGTTTCTTATTTTTGTTCTGGGTAAATTTTGTTCCCAATTTCTGTAGAAGAAAATGAAGAGTTTAATTTCTTGCCAGTTATCGTCTAAACCTTGATCACAGAAAAAGAGATTTGAGCAGGGGTGGTCGATTTTCAAAAAATTTTGACGACCTTTTTTTAAGTCGACCAAATTAATTTTCCAAGCTCTCCTACAGCACTAAAAAGACGCTGTTTTGGCCCATTTTTGAGTCGTTTTCGGGCACTTTTTGGAAAACGTTGACAAAAAAATCGCGTTTTTTTGGCTTGCGCTCCCCCTCAAAGTTTTGGCGGCAAAGGCGCCTTTAGAAAATTTTTAGAGCCGGTCGGCAGGGGTGGAATCCCTGAGATAGGGGGTAGGCGTGAGCCCCACGCCCCCCCCCCCCCCCCCCCCCTAAATCCGCCCCTGGTTTTGAGTATGTATTTTCACAAACAACATACTTACTGGTCCAAATTTTCAAAATGAGTTCCAACTTGTTGTTCCAACTAACTGAATATTTGAAACTGAAAAAATTTATACATCAGGGTGTTGCAGCGAATTCAACTATGATAATTAGAAAAAAAGCGTTTTTTTACGGTTTTTTACAATAATGTTTTTCACTTTCTAGAAAAATTTTCTTAATAACGACAACAACATTTTGCAGTTTTCAATTATTTTTTTGCTAAAATACGATTGAGTTTAATAAAAAAAACATTTTTTGGATTCAATTATGTGCTTGTATTCTTACGCGTAATGCCGCATCATTGAGGTGAAGTGTCTGCCGGGGACTCCGTCTACACTGCTGTGTTCCTTTACCACGAACCAGTAGCCACTCATGCCAACCACAATCTACGGTAACAGACAAAACACTGCTAAACACACCTATTCACATCTATTCTCATCTATTCACACCTATTCTCATCTATTCACATCTATTCACATCTATTCACACCTATTCACACCTATTCTCATCTATTCACACCTATTCACACCTATTCACACCTATTCACACCTATTCTCATCTATTCATATCTATTCACACCTATTCACATCTATTCACACCTATTCACACCTATTCACATCATTGTCCGGCAGGAAAAGAAGATGACCGATAATCGAGAAGATGACCGATAATCAAGGTTTTAGGTAAAATTTTGATTCAGAACTTTGGGGTAAAATGCACCATAAAATTTCTTGTGAAATTCTGAGCAAATTTTGCTCTCTTTCCTTTTTGTCTAATCATAACCTAATTTGATAAAAATGGGTTCAAATTTTCAAATTTTGTTCATTTTGTCCGAATAATTTAAATCAGCACTGTAGTTTTAAAACCTTTGATTTCTGGTAGTTTGAGATAATTACGTCTCAAATGGCTAATGTCCCACTAGGGATAAATAATTAAAATTTCTCAAACGGCACAATTTTCAAAAAAAAATCCTAAGTGGCATAAAATTTGAAATTTCCCAAATGGCATAAACAATATAGTTTGCGATGTGGCTTTAATTAAAATGAATTTAACATGACAGGAATATTCAACGAAAAAGAAATAAACAAATTGGTTTCAAATTTTACAAGTTTTGGCATATTTCTGAAATACTACCCTAATATTCGTCGATATCAACCATTCGAGCTTTGATTCTCTGTGTCACGTTACAAATTTTTGCGTTTAGGCTTCCTTATTTTTTTGTTGGGTCAAATCAGCTAGGTGACCTATGTAGAGTCGCCTATAAAATCACCTCGCCAAGTTTTCTTCATTTTGTCAGGCTTTAAACTCACAAAATTTTTAAAATCCAACTTTGAGGATCATTTTAAAAAAGATGCTTGGTTGAATTGATGGATGAGATATCAGTAAATTGTTGGCAAGTGAACAAAAATAAGGCGTGAAAACTGTCTGGAAAGATCTATTTCGCGCCTTCTCAAATTTTTCAGGCCTTTATTGGATTTGTTTCAACCATTTGGGAAACAATTTGATTTTGCACCATTTGGGAATTATGCCATTTGAGCAGTTGCCGTTTTAGACTTTCAGAACAAAAAATAAACACTTTGTGTAAGTTTTTTTTTATCTAGATAACGTTTATTGTGAACTCAAGAACCAAAATAATACAAAGTATTTTTTGCTGATTTAAGGTTTTGCGACTGATTCTTGATGCTATTTATACTCTAGTGAGTTTCATAGCGAGGAGAGTTATGAGTATCAAATAATGCAAATAATGTGAAACCATCTGAGAAACTGTTTAAAGAATAACATTAAAACTATTTCTTCACGAGACAAAAGACTAATATACGCGGTGTTGGGCTCTTAGACTTTGGATCTAATTAACATCCCCCCAAAGTTACCACGTTAAAACCCTCCATCCCAGCATCATTTAATTTGAATCAACTTTGCTAAGCGCTGCGCGTACAATGCTTAATTCTGATTGGCTGAAAATTCCAACTTTCGAACTTAGAACCAAGTTGACATCTTCCTCCCCAAAATTCCAGACTCAAGCTACTTTCTTTTGTCGCCTGATAAACTAGGCCCACCTGAATGGCCTTGTCAAACCATCTGTTGCACGAGTGCTTTTTTGATCCTCCACCGTGGAGGGAAATCAATCCCCACTCCGAAATTCGTTTCCTCTTTTCATCAACTGAGGCAGTTGTACCATTTTGAACTTCACAATTCACAACGGGCTCAAAGTCCAGGCATAGAACAAAAATGCTGGACTCTATTGTGCGGAAAATGATTCGGTTGTGTGGATCTAAAATACTAGGCTACTGAGTTACTTACCAATCAAACAAGGAAGGATCTAGAGTTTTCTCAAGAGGGGCGGCTGATTTTCAAAATTTTGAAATAAAAATAGGCCAAATTAGGCCAAAAAAGGCTCCCCCCTCGAAATTAATATATATTGGCGCCAAAGGCGCCTTTAGAAATATTTTACGGTCCGTCAACAAACATGGATATCTCAAAATAGTACAAAAGGGAGGCCCCTGTGGGTTGGCAGGGGGTCGAATCCCTGAGGAAAAGAAGCTTCCCCCCTAAATCCGCCCCTGCAACCATACAAAGTTATTGAAAATATTGATTCACCTGCATTTAGTTTCGAATATTGCGCTGCCCAGGAGTCTCGATCTTGACAGGTCAAAAGTCCAGCAGGAATTACATCGGTTTCATCATCCAGCCATATTGAAGTACAAGACGTGTAGATTTTTAAAAGTCGCTCGAAAATTTCTCCCGGGGCTAGTAGTCTCCTTTTTTGATCCAGAATGTCAACCGAGAATAGCTGAAATGAAAAAATTACATATATGATTTATCAATATGGGCAAAGCACAGTAAAATTCATTTAATCGCAAGTTATTTTAGCGTGAAACATTTTATAGTTTCATAAATTGTAAAATTTACACTTTGCTAACCGTTTATAGTTTATTGACTTGCTAATTTTTTTTCTAACCGTTTATAAATTATTAACTTATGTGAACTGAGTTGATTAAATGCGTTGCGCAAAAGCACAGAACAAAATTTCGATTTCCACAGTCTACGTCTTACAAACAGTCAAAAAAACTACTACGAATTCCTACAACTTCACTAATTTCTCTCTTTACTTCTGAATACCTTTCAAAAGCACTGCATGCACAAAAGCAGAAAAAAATCTTGGCAAAATTGTCTTTCTAGGATGCAAAAAAAGCATACCATATTTCGACACATGACTACAATATGTCTAGGACCGTTGGGAGCTCCATTCGGATAAACTACGAAACCATCGGCTCCTTCGCTCGGAATTCTACACGCGCTGAAACTTCTGTAGTACTGAAGGATGCAGGATCCGCAATCTCTTCTCTTATTGTTGGCTTCATTTTTAAGCCGAAACAAATCTACGAACTCCTCGCTAAAATGAAAAATCAAGAAGGGTGCTTTTTTATTACACAGGTGTGTGTTTTGTACTCCATCCTTCCCTAAGAGAGTTTACAAAAAAAATCTTCAAAATTTTTCCTCGTGTCGGTCAAGAAAACAAAATTTAATTTTAAAGTTTTCATTTTCCGACTTTTATACAGCGCAGAGCAAAATTCGACCCAGCTTTATTGATATCCTCTCCCACAGCCCAAATCACATTTGAAAAAACTGAAGTTTTTTACTAAAAAACTGAACATTTTTTCAATTTTTCATAAGTTTTCTGTATTTTTGATTTTTTTTCTAAATTACTGATAATTCATAATTTTTGATAACTGCTCAGAAATCAGCTATCCTTGTTATTTTTCTTATAACACTTTTACCACTAACCTAGAAGCCTATTTTTTTTTATTTCACTTGCTGCATATTATTTTTGATCTATTTTTGGTTTTAAATTTACATCAGTTTCATAAAATTTTACCTTTGTATTTTTTCCATAGCCATGTGTTGTCCGCAAACCAGCTGAGTTGCAAATGCAATCCAGCTCTGCACATCTGGAAAGGGACTGGGCAGACTGAATGGGTAGGCAGAGGTCACACTGACTACAAGCGACTCTCGACAGTTAAGGTACGCCTCATTCAGCCACCAATCTGCGAGCTGAGAAAAGGATAGAAATAATGAAGCATTGGCGGAGTTTTGCGGAGGCTCAAAAACTAGAAGGTTTTTACTGGCGCGAGCAAGAACTTTTTTAATGATATGGGCCTTTCTTAGAAAATATTTGATCAATCTTTTATAAATCAGCCATTTAAAAAACTTTTGATCCCCCGCAAAACTGATCTGACGATATTCCACAAAAAACCTTCTTGGAAAAACGCCGCTCTTGAGATTTTTTAAAATTAAATAAAAATTGTTTCAAATATTTTAAGGGTTTAGAAAAATCGAATCAGTTTAAAACAAGTTTTCATTTTATACTTTGATATTTCTCACTGTAAAATATTAATAACTAACCAATCATGATCCATGATTGAAACTTACAATAAATTGTAAAGCTAAGCTATTCTTAGTTTCAGTCAGAAAATTAATAGTTAAGATTGAAACTAATTCCTTTCTTCTCTCCTCTAACTTCGCGATAAATCAGTATACCTCTAGATCTATTGAGACTAGGAAATATAAGTTATACGACTACGATTAGGATTTGCATTAGACTAAGGAGTTGTACGAAGATATACGGCCGTGAAAGGAAATAGATAGCGTAACGAACAGACGGTGTACCCTTATCCGAAACTACTCTATGAGAAGACCACCTCGCACCTAAATTGAAAATTGGTCTTGGAATTTTTTTGGAATTTATTTTCAGACCTAAAAGTTTTCAGAGGCTCCGTCCGTTTGAAAACTCAAAAAACGTTTCATTGGATACCCTTTTAATTTTTTAAAATGATCTTTTCTGACACCAAAAATTTTCTACGGGCTGCTTTTCTTAGCACTCCAATTTCTCGGAAGTATTTTCTTCTAAGCCGTTTAGAAAAGAAGTCTCTTCAGAAAGTTTTTAATTTAGAAAAAATTTAGTTTCAGAAAAACTGTCTTTCAAAGTTTTAAGGGCTCACAAAAAAATTTTCAGAATAGTTTTAGGGTTTCGGGAGCATTTAGAAAATTTTGAAACTTTAGAAAACAAACCGTTAGAAAAATTTTAAAAGAAATTCTTTTGAAAGATTTGGAGGTTTGGAAAAATAGCCCCAGGAAAAATTATAGCGTTTAGAAACAGGTGCGGGTGTATATTGAGGTTACGGAAGTCAAAGCTTTCCAATAAGGTCCGAAAATTTAGTCAAAACGTGGTCATTATTGAGTTTTTGAAAAAATGAGTGGTTTAATTTTTTTTTTTTTGTAAAAATGATCGTTCAGCGTTTTTTTTCTGGAAATCCGACATCATCGGGTCAAAAAAATCTCAAATTCGCCCTTGCTTAGAACTTTCAGGATTAGGGAAATTAAGAAAAGGAGCAGTTGGAAACTTTTTAGGTTTGTTAAGGCTTCTTCAAATTTTGATTTTCTATACCTCGAGTTTCAAAAAACCTTTTTTCCCTAAATTCCCTAATTCTGAAAATCTTAAGGGAAAGCCTTAAGGATTTAAAAACATTTTTATGAAAATTTTTAGTGCTTACAAGATGTGTGCAAAGAGTGCGTAGAAAATTTCCATGTTTTAGAAGTTGATTCCCATGAATTTTCTTAGAACTCATCAAAAGTGTCTTTAAAAATTGTTTAAACGTAGAAAAAAATGTGGGTAGAGAGTGCGTAAAAAATTTTCATGTTTTATAAGTTGACCTTAATAAATTTTTTTTAGAGCTCATCAAAGGAGTCTTTAAAAACGGTTAAATGTGGAAAAAACTTTCAGAGAATAGATAAATTGTATTTAAAAATTTTAGACTTTAAAAAAGGAGCTTTTGAAATATTTAGGGTTTAGAAACAACTGCGTCTTAAGGGTATTTTTAGGGAGTAGACCCTTTCAACATCCAAAAAGGGTCTTTTTGGTGCTAAATTACAACCTCCGTTCTTGGCCGACCGACTCAAAATTAATTCTGAAAGCCATTTTAGAAAACCCACAAAAATGTCCAAGAAAATAGGAAAAAAATTGGTATGCCCAAACATGATCGAGTTGTTTGTTATCAGTAAGCATGAAACAAAAAAGTGTACCCAGTTTGGAGAGCTGTCGGCACGTTCCTCTAGAAGTTTCTGACATTCTGCTAGAACGGGGTCATGCCTCATTTCAGAAACAACCTAAAACATTTTTCAGAAGTTTTCTTAAAAAATTTAACTGGACAAAGCAATTTGCCGTATGTTGCCGAGGATTTTATGGCGTCCGGAACCCCACGTATCTGATTGCTTTTATAGGTGGCTAATGATCAAGGAGCATATAAGACTACCAGAATTATGTGTAGAAAACATACATCTTCGCAATAATTATATTCGACTTTCCAAAGAGAAATCAAACATTTTAGAAATCAAACATTTTTGGTGCTAAGCTGACCAATAAATGAAATTTTTTTCTCAAAATAATAAGTGGTCTTTTAGAACCCATAAGAGAAGAGTATTAAATTCAACTTTGGATTTTGTATTAAAAACGCTAGTTTGGCAGCTTAATACCGGCAAACTGCTCAATACGTTTGCCCGTATTCACGTTGGATTTTGATTTTCGGCTTGTTAGTCCTTCACCAATGTAATTACGCGATTACAATTTCTTTGGCAATTATGAATACCTGCTTTTGCAGACCGGTCTTTTCCATATTTCCACATTTTGGAAAATTTTGAGAAAATGAGCAACGAAGAGATGCGGCCGCGTGTGCAAGTAAGACGTAGGATTATCGTAGGCGATTGTCCAAAGATAAAGTTTTCGAGAGCTAGACCGATAACTTTTAAATCTTTAAGGTTTCTATCTTAAGACAAGTTTTGGTTCAGAATAGCACTGATTCAACTTCAAACTGTTCGAAGCTCAGGATTATGTAAGACTTAAAACTGCTTGGTTGTATATTCTTTCCAAACTCTCAGATAAAAGTTCTTACAAATTTTCCATTGGAAAAAAATCTATCGGAAAACTTTTATTGGAAAAATTCTGTAGATAAAAAATCTATTAGAAAACAAAACAATATAATAATAAATCAATTCAGGTTTTCCTATTGGTAAAATTATCGTGAAAACATTTTAGTTTGTTAAAAATTGATCTGGCAAAATGCTGATCTGATAAAAAATCAATTTGCATTAGAACTGACTGCTTTATTTGACTTATGCTTTTGTGGTCTGGTAGAAAAAAATTGCCGTGTCATAAATTCAACCAGACAAAAAATATCCTGCAATAATTTTTTCGTCTTGCATGAATACAAAAGAAAAGAAAAAAGAGTTTTTTAGCAGACCAGTAACACTAAAGCAAAATAGATAGTCATGAAAACATGCTTAGCTCCCACTTAAGACAAGTATTCCGCGGTCAGTCATTAAAATTCAATTCGCTTCATAAACTAAACAAGTCAATGCTAATTCACGCACACAGTTTGCTCTCGTGCCAAATATGAGCGAAACAAATGAGAAAGCAGTCCTTATTTTTCAATTTCGAGAATTGCGTGTAGAGTCGTGTAACAGACCCAACAAAAAAAGTTGTCAACTTAACAGCAGTCGACTTTTTAACCGGACACCACGTTGAACGTACCTTAAATTGCCCAAAATTTATCTGCAGATCCATAACTAGAAGCTAAGCTATCAACAATTAGCGTTTCAAATGAGAGAAACTTTTGTTGCCTGTTCATGCAAACATTCTAAAATGGTAGTCATAGGGCCATTAAAGGAAATCAAGGCTTCCTCCTGACTCGAAAAAAAACAATATTGTTACCTTGTACCTTAATGGCTCGTTTCATCTGGGCAAGGTTCAAAATAGGCTCCAATGTTTTCAAATACTTGTCCAATGTTTTTTGTAAATCAGGCACTGGCAGGTTCCGGTCTTGAAACGTATCGTCTTGGTACTTCAAAACGTGGGGAAGATATTTAAGAAGCTTTTGCTCGTCATGAAGATCAGAAACAGGTTCTAATAAATCGGTCATAACTTCTTGTTGTGTTAGTAAATTATGTGGTCCTAGTTTTAATTTACGAAGCGTTCTGTGACCGAAAGTCAGTTTAAGTAAAACGAAATGCAACCGCAAACACAAAATATGTGTAAAAAGAGATAATCAGCACTAATTACTCATCAAATTGACAACAGTCATGATATGACAGAACTATAACTGGTCGTCCTATAGTTCAACTGTTATCTTGCAACTCATATTTCTTCTAAGTTATTTGAATAGGGACCATAAAATAGCTGATTTAGTTCTTAAGAAGCGAATATCAAGCTTATAAGCAAAGCCGCAGGCAGATAACCATCGCTCTTTTCTACGTTAGAAACTGATTGTTTTTCTCTTGTTTATTACAACAGCACCATCATGTCTCTTGAGAAGTTATGATTAAGAATAAGTAAAACACCTGAGCTTCATAAAATAGAAGTAACAGCATACAACTGTTCAGGTGAAATCTCAGATACTACCATCGAAATTTGAGAAAAACTGAGTTGGTTGAACTTGAACATAATTTTCCACGCCAAAGAAAAATTAGACCGAAACTCGCTGCGCTAGCAAAAAAGTTCAGTCTAATAATAATGAAAAAAAAATTATTTCTAACTGGTTGTACATACCATTTGAAACTGATATGTTCATATTATATATTAATGCAAGAACACCAGCTTGGTAGACACCATAAGACCGTTAGACTTGTCGCTTTGATGCATTTGCCACGTTTTTTATAACAAAAATGCAATGATGAATTTAAAAACTTATGTTAACTAATTAGGTTTCCATCTTTGCTGTCAAAATAGGCAGAAGTTAAAACAGTAGTTATCAGTAATCGCAACCATTTGTCTTAGTATCTAAATTAGTTCATTATTCAATCACTAGTTGTTGCTATTTAGTTTATCTTTCTGTCTGGCGCTAACCGGTATTTAACCTTCGGAGTTGTCTGTCACCTTTGATTGACCGTCATTTCATTGCCTCCGACTAAACTTCCAAATTACGGTTACTTAACTCAACTACTTAATTTACTTATCGGGACCGTATTTTCTCATGGCGCAGCCAACAGGTCAGAGTGGGGGGAAAACCCACAGGGGATTACGTCGTTTTGGCCCTCTACGTTCGCAGAGCCACCAATGCTATGGTAGTTTTGGTTTAATCGATTTCAATGGGGGATGGTGACCAAACACAGTATCAATCCGAGAAATTTTTACTATGCCAGTACTTAAACAGCAGCACAGGTTACCGCATTACCAGAGGAGGTGGACGAGAAAGATCGGATGGCATCGGAACAAACTCTAATACCGAACTTGTACTTGTGTCTGGGGGGAAAAAGGGCAAGATGAATTGCATAAGAGGAGGCCACACCTGGATCTATCTACTACCCGTTACTCGAGGGTACTAGATGCGATAGAAACTGAATTTAAGAAAGAACGGATTGAAACATACGAAACATTCCAGTTATTGGCACGGAAACAACACATTGCAGAATCCTTGGAGCAGTTCGATTCCGTTTTAAGCGGACTAGCAGCACGATGCAATTTTGGAGCGTTGGAGACCAGAATTTTGCGGGAAGTATTCATTTTGAACATGAATAATAGAGAGGCACAGAACGAGCTATGTCGATCAACAAAAACACCAGAGGAGGTGTATCGCATCGCGTTGTCATATGAACGTGGATATAAGTATGCTAAATCATATGGTTCGGCAACCGGGGGAGCAACAAAAAACGGAAACACCGGCGGAGCTGGAGCGTTCCAAATTAAAACGGAACCGGTGGGGGATATCGTTATAGTAGACAACACGGCCGTGGATCGTTCAGGGGACGAGCAGACACGAGAGGGGGAGCATCTAAAAGGTGCTATAATAGTGATCAACCCAATTTTACTCCGGAGCATCTAACTACATGCCCAGCTAAAAGTGCGACATGTAATTTCTGCCGAAAGACTGGACATTACGAGAAGACTTGTCGGGGAAAAAGGACTAACCGGGGAAGACCTGCGGTGGGACTGATTCAAAACCAGGAGGATGTGGATGTTAGCGAGATAGGTAACGTTGAAGATGCCTATTCGCAACATGAAATTTCAGTCGGATTGGTCAACACACAGATAAGAGGCAACGATCGTGGGATTCGGACAGTTTAGGAGACTATGTTGTGATGTTTATCAAATCTCGGAAGGAAACCGAATTGAAAGTGGCCGGCGCTCGACTACCAATTAAAATAAATGGTAAGCACACAAACGTCTGGATAGACAGCGGATCACTGATCTCAATATTCACGGTTAGAGAACTGAAACGAACGCTGGGCACCGCAGGCGTTAACTTGAAGGCGCCAGCACCGGAGGACGATGAGTTCAGGTATTACGAAAACAATCCTTTAAGGCTGTTAGGAACGATTAACGTATCATTGGAGACGAACGGATGGGTGACCGAAGCGAAAATCAAGGTGATTGGAGGAAACAGACCGTCGATTATTGGAAGAGATCTAATGCCAAATTTGGGATTACAGATAGTGCAAAGAACACCGGAGGAAAAGGTGATGTCATTTCAGGAAGAACAACTGGGGGCCGAAACAACAAGCGAGGAGGATTCATTAGGCCATGGCAGACTTATTTCAGTAAGCAATTAAATAATCTTTTTCATAGAGTCGGAAAAATTAAGAATTATAAGGTGCTCGCGGAATTTTTCGAAACGTTAACGCCAATACAACAAAAAGGACGGAGAGTGCCGATTACACTACAAGAGAAGGTTGACAAGGAAATTAGTAAGCTTTTGCAGCAAGGGCATATCGAAAAATTGGAAGAATGTTCGGACAAGTATTTTGTCTCGTCGATTGTAATAACAGTGAAAAAAGATGGATCAGTAAAATTAGCGCTAGGGTCCAGGGAGCTAAACAAACAAGTTCACAAGAATAAAAATATCAAATGCCCAATAGTGAAGAGCTCATGGATACCGTAGGACAAACGATAAGCGAACGAAAACCGGGGGATGTATACTTGTCTACGATGGACCTTACGTATGCGTACGGTCAGCTTTCACTTAGTCCAAAAACGAGCGTCCAATGCAATTTTTCGTTAGTGGGAGGAAAACCAACGGGTACGTATCGTTTTCGAACGGGATTCTACGGCCTTACAACCATGCCAGCGGAATTCCAAAGAGTAATGGATACAACCCTATCGGACGAACGGATGGGTGACCGAAGCGAAAATCAAGGTGATTGGAGGAAACAGACCGTCGATTATTGGAAGAGATCTAATGCCAAATTTGGGATTACAGATAGTGCAAAGAACACCGGAGGAAAAGGTGATGTCAGTTCAGGAAGAACAACTGGGGGCCGAAACAACAAGCGAGAAGGATTCATTAGACCCATGGCAGACTTATTTCAGTAAGCAATTAAATAATCTTTTTCATAGAGTCGGAAAATTTAAGAATTATAAGGTGCACGCGGAATTTTTCGAAACGTTAACGCCAATACAACAAAAAGGATGGAGAGTGCCGATTACACTACAAGAGAAGGTTGATAAGGAAATAAGTAAGCTTTTGCAGCAAGGGCATATCGAAAAATTGGAAGAATGTTCGGACAAGTATTTTGTCTCGTCGATTGTAATAACAGTGAAAAAAGATGGATCAGTAAAATTAGCGCTAGGGTCCAGGGAGCTAAGCAAACAAGTTCACAAGAATAAAAATATCAAATGCCCAATAGTGAAGAGCTCATGGATACCGTAGGACAAACGATAAGCGAACGAAAACCGGGGAACGATGGACCTTACGTATGCGTACGGTCAGCTACCACTTAGTCCAAAAACGAGCGTCCAATGCAATTTTTCATTGGTGGGAGGAAAACAAACGGGTACGTATCGTTTTCGAACGGGATTCTACGGCCTTACAACCATGCCAGCGGAATTCCAAAGAGTAATGGATACAATCCTATCGGAATTTCCAGAGGCACACGCATTCATAGATGACATCTTGGTTGTCACGAAAGGCACCGAAATTGAGCGTATCTCAACGGTCGAGAAAATTTTACGGAAACAAGATCTGGAAAACATGTCGCTCAAACTTACTAAATGCCAGTTCGGGCGGAAAGAATGCGAATGGTTGGGGCGTAAAATAACGTGCACATGAATTACGCCACTAATCCGAAAAACGGAACCAATTGAGTCTCTAAAAGCCCCCAAAACGGTTTCACAACTTAAATCGTTTATGGGCTCCATTCATAGCCTACACAAATACCTCCCGGCACTCGCGGAATCGTCGCCTTGGTTACGCCTTTTATTAAGCAGAAAAAATGAATATATTTGGACTAGTGAGTGTCAAATATCATTTGAGAATCTAAAAAAGCAGGTGGCGAACATAGTGGAACTTCGGCATTTCGATTTACACCGTGATACAAGAAGTGTCTGTGACGCAAGCCATAACGGGCTTGGTGCGGTTCTTGAACAATTAAATTCCGACGGATGGAGGCCGATATCCTTCGCATCCCGGTATTTAAACGACGCGGAGAAAAAGTATTCCACGAACGAATTGGAAATGCTTGCAGTTGTGTGGGGGTGGAATACTTCCGAAATTATGTGTTGGGGAGATAATTTTTAATTGTTACGGACCATAAGGCCCTGGTATCGCTGCTAAATGGGAACAACAAAAAGAACAAGACGATGTTTAGTAGATTAACCAGGTGGTTAGATCGCCTTATACCGTTTGATTTTCTCTAACCCGGAGCTAAAATTGGTTTCGCGGATTACCTGTCCAGGCACCCGAGTTCGGACGCTAAACCGGTCAGCACCTATGATAGTATGTTCACGGTGGCAAAGATTAGTCACATTAGATCTGTCCTCGGATTTAAAAAGGAAGCTTTCTCCAAAGGTAAACTCGAGTCTCCAAAGGCTAAGAATAATAATAAACGCGTTTGTAAGATATCGAACATAAAACAGCCGGTAGAGGGCGAAAAAACATGTTATGGAAAACGGACCAATCACAGAGCGGCGACGAATTGCAGTTCCGGCAGGTCACTTAAGTCTAGTGAAAATGTAATCGGGACTATTATTGAAACAGATTTCGGTTATTCAAATTTACGTGTAAACATTCAAAATTCAAAATCTAGTATAGTTATGGAACGAAAGATCAGGAAACTATTGGAACGACACCCCAGCAATAGTAGCAGCGATGAGATAGAGGAGATCAATCAAGATATGCTAGCAGTCACTACAGAAGTCCGGAGCACTAGAAGTAACACCATGATTTCCATTCCTTCGGTTTATCCGGGCGAAAGTTATCCGCCGGTTAATCCGGAAAATCGCTTTATGGCTTTTATTCCGAGAAATTGCAAAGTACTTAGTAAACAAACCGCGCTTCCAGAATTGTTTAATCTTCGATTTATCGAATCCCAGTACGGTTCAGATCCTCAACTCCAAGCAATCATTGAAATGGTTAAGTGCAAGGACCCACAGTTACACACAAAAATTGCAGCTATGAGGAAGTATTATGCCCAATACACTCAGGATTTTCAAGTAAAGGACGGATGCCTGTGGATGGATGAGAGACTCGTTATTCCAAACACTTTGAAGTGGCGGTAAACAACAGATTGCATTATTATCATCATGGGAAGTCAAATATTTACGAGGCGGCCAAAGACATCTGGTACCCTTACATGTTCCGCAGTTTAGCGACAATCGCCGGGAATTGCAAAGAATGCACATTAGCTGGTAAGAATTTGAAAAACATGTGTTCGAAAGGGTATGTAGGAAAAATACCTGAACCCAAAGAACCAAATGAATCTGTGCAATTAGACTTTTGGGGGCCAATTAATTATTTAAAGGAATATAAAAAATATTTGCTGGTGGCGGTGGATCGGTTTTCTCGTTGGCCATCGGCTATAGTGTGTATTTCAAATCGGTCGGACAAAATCGTAAAATTCCTAAAAGCATATATAATTGCACACGGAGTTCCGCGACAAATTCGAGTGGACCAGGGAACGAATTTTATGTCCAAGGAGGTCCAAACTTTCTGTCATGGAGAAGGATTTGAAATATTTACATCGCCAGTTAACGATCATCGGGCAACAGGATGTGTCGAGCGGACAATCGGTAGCATCAAAAATTCAGTACTAACCTTAACCTAAGAAAAACCTGAACCCTTGGATCGGATGGTTGAAAGGGCCCTCGGTGCTTTAACATTCGCTAAAAACGCCATCCTGAACATAACACCGTTTGAGGCGCGCCATGGCCGGGAAGCTAACACAGTTCTCAGGAATTTGACCAAAAAGCCATCTTTAAGAAATCTAAATTGGGAAAACGTAATACGCTCAAAATCTACTTGTTTAGATGAACGAGACCCAAACGCCCAAGCGATGCCAGAGCCGATGGACACAAACTGGGGAGTCCGCTCTGATACGGAGTACGATGTGAAAAACAGGCGCCACCCTTTGAGATTGGCTGATGACCGGATCGCTAATCAGGACAATGAACCCGGGGTTGTTCGGACCACGGATGAACCAGCCTCTATACCACCAGTGGTTGTAATGCAGCGAACAGGAGAGCGCATTTTAAATTGGTATAAACCATTGAAATCCACTATAATAAATCAGAGTGAACATACCATTTAAATGAGTAATGGTGCTGTGCTTAGAAAATCGGGAGTAGCACTGAAGCGGACGAATATTGCGAAGAAAAGGGCGCCGGGTCAAATCGCTGCACCACCAACGCCGTGGGACTTGAAACGGAAATTACTAGCGAATCAACCATAGAGTTCAAAAGGCACCACAGGCACCTATCAAAGCACCGTAGGCAAACGGAAGAAACTCCAAATCCGGGACAATGTGGAGGATTCGGAATCCGAAGAAGATGATTATTTACCGCTGGCCACAACAAGACAAGCTATTGAACCGAAGGAGGGTAACCCGGGAGCAAATTTTGAAGGGGTGAGACAAGAAACGTCAAGTGGGGGACAGCAGCAGACGGAGCCGACGGAGACGATAACGATTCGACCGAGCGATTACGAGACGGCGACGGAGTATACCATTGAACGAGAGGCGGAAATCGAGATCAACCGGAGGAAAAACGACACCACGGATGAAACACCGAAGGAGACGGAACGCGAAATTCCACAAATCGGAGTAAAAAGCGGGGCAGGAAACAACGGTTTGTTTCGTATTCGAGCCAAGATTCGGCAAGTTCGTTAGACGAGACCAGCTCAAGACGTTCCGGAAGGAAACGCACGGCAGTGACCATGATGGGGGCAGTCATGATTGACAATATGACTGTCCAGGGAGAGGGCATGCCGTGAAGTGGCAAAAAAACTCAATTGTTTAAGTTTGAATGTAGCAGCAGCCAGTTAACCAAAACTATCGCTAAAACTCGTATTTGTCTTTTTTAACATTTCATTGAGTACTTAAATCATGTCATCATTTCTTACAAGAAGGGGAATGTCATAGTATCTAAATTAGTTCATTATTCTATCACTAGTTGTTGCTATTTAGTTTATCTTTCTGTCTGGCGCTAACCGGTATTTAACCTTCGGAATCGTATTTTCTTCCATCTTTGCTGTCAAAATAGGCAGAAGTTAAAACAGTAGTTATCATTAATCGCAACCATTATTTAAAATTGAGTACTCCAGAAATTAAGCACGTCAGCCCGAAAAGAATATATTCGGTGCTTCTTTTTGAAATTCTAAAGCTGATGAAACTGTATGTTCCCATTTGCTAACGCTTGCAAACGAAGTGTAATCAAAATCGTTTTCCCAATTTCGAAATTTGGAAGCATGCTTTGCCGGTTCTTTTTGCCGTTTTCTGCTTTGTATTTTGCCGTTTTCATGCTTTGCCGTTTTCTGGAACTGTCTACACTAATTTTGCAAAAATAAAACTTTACAAATAACATTTTAATTGCTAAATTTCATTATCTCATCTATTTACAAATAGCAAAAAATGTATTATTAATTTAACTATAGTTTGGATTTGGAATTAGGTGTTTCTTGTTGCATAATATCTCTCAGAGTTCTAAGTGCTCTCTCAACATAAGAAATGAATAAATTCGAATGCGTTCTCTGAGACTGGCGAAATGTTGACACCATGAAGAGAATGGAGTTGCTTTGAATGTTGTAGCACACTCCCGTACAGTCCAGTGAAGTAGGGCCGAAGGTAGTGAATCCCCCTTTTTCGGAATAAACCTGGAAAGAAATGAGAAGGACTGTCATCATGTTCAGACAATTCATACACGAGGGAAAGGACCAACAGACGAGCTGTTCAATTCTTCGCGGAGAACCGCTGTTGTGCAATTTTTTCTTATTTTTCTTGGCTGGGTCATGATGCCTTAAGCAAAAATCCAACCTTTCGATTGCGAGGCCGAGTTGTAACCCCTTAACGACAGCTCCTGTGATCACTACTGTAAACTTTACACAGAGGCAAAGCTGCAATTTGCAAACACAAGCGAGGAAAACGCAAGAAAGAACTCTGAACAGGCAAAGCAACAAAATGAAATCAGGAAAATAATAAAAATACACCTTGAGAAAAATTTTTGCTGAGATGAGGAAAAACAGGTTCTCACATCTGCTCCACGCCCGCCTGTAATTTTACTTACACTAGACACAAATAAAGCAGATGCCGTTTATTATCAAATTGCCAATGCTATGCAGCAAAAATTCGACCAAAAAAAAACTAATCAATGTTCCGGATTTGAATCTACCACCTTTTAATTTGATGTCTGACGTACTCACATTTACGTCACGGTCGCTTGGACACAAACTAATGGCCCAGTTAATATTGGATGCACCTGTTTTAATATTTTAATCTTTGATTGTACAGATACCGAAATGCGTAATTTTCAAAGTTTCAAAAAAGAGACTTTAAGCGAAACCCTAGTGATTCTCCTACTTCAGTAGGGGATTAGCTGTTTATTTAGAGGAGAAAACTACTACATACTCTTTCAACAGAATTTTTCTATCTCAGATTTGGCAGGGTAGTTTTCGAAAAAAATATATAAAAAAAGATTCCAAGAAACGATCAAATATTGTAAATTTGACTTTTCCAAAATCCATTAACAACTCTCTAATAAAACATTCGAATAGCATCTTATGCAAGAAGGACTTTCACATCCTGATTTTTAGATTGAACCCTTAATATCAGATTTAGTTAGTAATTTTCGAGAAAAAAGTTTGAAATTTCTACAAAAAACGGTAAAAATTTCAAAAAAAAGCTAGTAATTTTCGAGAAAAAAGTTTGAAATTTCTACAAAAAACGGTAAAAATTTCAAAAAAATGGATTTTTGTTATGACTTCATAAGCTAATCTACAAATAGGGTGACGCAGATTACACAGGGAAAACCTAAGCACCACATTAGTTTTATTGAAGAAACAAGCTCATAATCAGCGGGTTAGCGTTTGAAAAAAAAGAATAAGTTTCCAAAAAAAGGGCAAAACTTCAAAAATTTGACATTTTCTAGGGCCATAATTTTTTAAATCACAGAGCATAGCCGTTTACACAGGAGAAAATTCACCGAAAAATTAAATTTTTTTCTTTCTGTTGAACCTGAATCTCAGATTTGGCAGGGTAGTTTTTGAGAAAATAAAAGTTTTAAAAAATAACAAAAATATCAAAAAAGGGCTGGTTTGAGGCCATAATTTTTTTTCTACCAAACTTAGGGAATAGCCGCGTAAGAAGGAGGATCCCCATGATTTGATCTTTTGATTGAAACGTTTATGTCAACTTTGCGCATTTAATACTTGAGGAAACGGAAAAAAAATCAAAAACAAATAGGTCAAAAATCCCTTCCGAAACTTTCGAAGACCATAGAACGTGGGCTAAAATAAATAAAGACTAGCAAAATATGCAGGCACATAGAAGAGCCGCGAGTTTTTCCATTGGTATCAATTTTTTGAAAATCGGCTCAGTACTTTTTGAGAAAAAACTCAAATTTCTGCGAAAAGTGCAATAATTTTCCAGAGCGTCGCAAAAAAAATAACCAAAGACATCAAATCCCCTACATTTGCATAATAGCTGTTGTTTTCAACAGGACCTTACACTATCCAAAAAAAAGCCGCAGTATATGCTATCAAATTGCCTTTGCTTAAATATATACCAAAAATGCCACCAATGAGCACTTTTATTTGCCTTCCAGTGGTGGACGCCGCCTTCCAGTGGTGGATCCGACATCTTGGGCCCCACCAAGATGCAAATGGCGTCAAGCCCCCCCTCCCATTGGGTCGGGAGAAGCTCAGAAGTCTCCGGGTTTTCGGTTACGGAGCGTCTGAAGCCGGCCAGGCTGCTCCGTCTGCTCATCCTTATACTACTACTCCGCTCCGGCATTAATCCAAACCCTGGTCCAGGACCTTACTTTTGCTCCCCTTGCTCTTTCCGCATCAAACGCACCCAGCCCAGTGTCTGGTGCCACATCTGTGGTTACATTCACCTTAAATGTAGTGGTCTTACCCACCTTAACCAACACCACCCTGACTACTATTGCCCTACCTGTACCTCTACCTACATTTTACCTCCCCCAGGCACCAGGTCCTCTAACTTGACCACCCCCAACTCCCAAACTTGTTCAACTTCCCTAACCGCCCCCCAACCCCACCTCCCTAACCCCCCTCCCCCTCCCACCCTTCCCACCTCCTCGAATAATAATTCCTCCTCCCAAAATCGCGCAAATCGTAATCGTGTAAATAGTGAAAATAACTCAAGTTCAAACAACCATTTTAATCATACTGCTGTTAATAATGTAAATAGTTCACCACACCCCGCCAAAGGCCTTTTAAAAATCCTTCAATTTAATTGCAACGGTATCTCCGGAAAAGCACCCGAAATTGCTGCTTTCTTATCTCAAAATCAAATTCATATTGCTGTCTTCCAAGAAACTAAATTAAGAAAGAAATCTCGAAACCCCTCACTTGGCTCACACTACACTTTAATTAGAAAAGATCGAGAAAAAGAAGGGGGCGGTCTTCTCATAGCCATACATGAGTCGATACAATACGAAGAAATAAATATTAACAACGATGGAACACTAGAGGCTATGGGCATATCAGTGGTAGCCAGTTCATCCAAGCTTCGTATTTATAATTTCTACATCCCCCCTGCGCTCGAGCTGTCCCCCTGGTTACTCTGCGTCCCTTGCCGAACTACTTGAACCTGGGGACGCCTTAGTACTCGGGGATGCCAACGCACATTCACAACTATGGAACTCCAACATCGAGGAAGATCAACGCGGCTCTGTACTTAGCAATGAAATAACCGAATCCACCTTTGCACCATTAAATGATGACACACAAACCAGAGTCCCTTTTAACTCAGAAAACCAACTCTCGTCACCAGATATTTCCCTCGCATCCCAATCGCTCTTACTCTCCACATCATGGACCCCAATTAAATCTCTAGGATCAGATCACCTACCCATTCTTCTAGAACTACCCTTGGATGATTTTATAAATTTTTCACCTAAAAGGACTTTTATAAATTTTTTAAAAGCAGATTGGATCAAATTCACAGAGGAAATTGAGGAGGGTTTCTTTTCAGCGGTTCCACCTTCCGGAGTTGCCGCCGGAGAGAAATTCTTGAGGGACCTGGTGCTCAGGGCAGCACGCCACCACATCCCCGCTGGCCGTATTCGCCACTTCACTCCCTCTCTTTCCCCCGAGTCCACTGCCCTTGCCGCCGAAAGAGATTTAAGCCGACAACAAAATCTCCCCCCAGAAGTCATATCCCAACTGATCTGTAGACTCATGAAACAGACAGCAAAGGACAAAGAAAATAAATGGCGAGAATTCCTCCGGACTTGCGACTACCGCACTGGTGCCAGAAAGTTCTGGAAAGTGGTACGCTCCTTAAATGGATCTAAGCCCGTGGCAGGAAGACACCCCATTACTTTTGGTTCTAAACCCATACACTCACCTCGTGATATTACCAGCTCTTTTAACAAACAATTCACAAATGCCAGACCCCACGCCTCTGACAAACTCCTTCGTATAACGAGAAGAAAAATTGCCAAACTACCGCTGTCAGACAGCCCAATTGTTACCCCTGAAAATACTAAACAAGCCATTGCAGACAGCAAACCATCGCGAGCGCTAGGTCCCGACGGCCTTTGTAATATACATCTTAAACATCTCGGCCCACTTGCTACTCAATACTTAACATACCTTTTTAATATCTCTTTGTCCGAAAGCATTATCCCCCAAATTTGGAAAAATTCAAAAATTGCACCGCTTCCAAAGCCCAATAAGGATCTTAAACAATCAACATCTTACAGACCTATATCCTTACTCTGCCCAGCTGTTAAAATTCTGGAGAGGCTCGTTCACCCCATCTTTACCAAACATCTCCCCAACGCCAAACACCAACACGGCTTCCGCCCTTTTCACTCCACCACCACAGCTCTCTCCACTCTCGAATTTTACATTTCAGACGGTTTTAACCAAAATCGCCCCCTAAACGTACGGTACTGGCCACACTTGACTTATCTAAGGCTTTCGACATGGTGTGTCATCGCTCACTTGTGGAACTCGTTCATGACACTCCCCTCCCAAGAAGTCTAGTCCGCTGGCTAAGTAATTACCTTAATGGTCGACAGGCTGCCACCTCATTCCGTGAACACACATCCCCCCATCGAATAATCCACTGTGGCGTACCACAAGGTTCTGTTTTATCACCCACACTCTTCAATTTTTATGTCCATGATGCACCGCCACCTCCCGATAATGTAAACCTTGTTTCGTATGCAGACGATTTCCACCCCTTCGCAAGCAGTTCCAATATTGATATCGCCTCAAACTCCATCAATAGCTACCTAAAAAGGCTCTACGATTTTTTCACCTCACGCAAACTAAGTTTCGCGTCCTCTAAAGGATCAGTCACACTTTTCTCCTCTTATAACAAAGAATTTAATAAAACACCTAGTGTTCTTTTAAATAACGAGGCGCTACCCCTAAACAAAAATCCAACAATCTTAGGTGTGACATTTGATCCAACACTTTGTTTTGCCACTCACTGCAAACAATCCGCTGAAAAGGCCAGACGCAGGATCGGAATCCTGAAGGCATTAGCAGGATCAACCTGGGGTCACTCCAAAGAAGCCCTCCTCCTAACTTTTAAAGCTTTAATTCGCCCCATACTTGACTATGCAGCCCCCGCATGGTCCCACGCATCAAGTAACACCTCCATAAATTGCCTGCAGGTTGCCCAAAACCAATCCCTTCGCCTTGTTACTGGATCAAAACTAATGAGTTCCACTGCCCACCTGCACAGTGAATCTGAAATCCTAACGGTCAAAGACCACCATACCCTTCTGTCATCTCAATTTTTTATCTCTACCTATCGTTCCCACCATCCCATTAATTTTATACATTCACATCCCCCTCCTCCCCGTCTACTTCGCCCCTCAATTATAAGCTGCTTCAAAGAAGACACCCAGAAAACTTTAACCGACTTTTCAGTCTACGCAAACCACCCTCTAGTTCTGGACGACCGAGACGAAGTCTCCACTTTTATTTTTAACTACTACAAACCAATTTTAAAAGACAACCATACCTCCCTTGTAACCAAGTTCCTAGCCGAAACCCCTCCGTCTAAAGTTATTTGTATCCCTCCCCCAAAGATTGACCCCTCTGAAAAATCTCTCCCACGTCCCACGCGCTGTAAGCTCTCCCAGCTCCGGTCTGGCTACAGCCGGCTCCTTAACACCTACCTATCCCGCCTCGACAGCTCCATCTCCCACCTTTGCCCAACCTGTTCCCTTGCCCCCCACACAACTTGTCACCTTTTCAACTGCTCCCAAAACCCCTCCCCACTCACCCCAGCAGACCTGTGGCTTCGGCCGGTAGAGGTTGCTAAGTTCCTTGACCTGGAGACAGAAGAGCCCAACCCGACCCGCGTGGGCTAACAACAACAACAACAACAACTTTTATTTGCGACTTAGGTTGGAAAAAAATTCTTCGTAATAATACACTACGCTTGTGTAAAAATCGGTATCTGGATGATTGCTAAAATATCTTTAATGAAAATTATTATCTGCGATTTTTCAAATTCAAAAGCGAAATTTGAATCTTTCAGCAGGGAGGGAAAATACCAGTCTTGCTTTTTAGATATATGCAAGTAAGAGTAAGACACATTTACTTTAACCTATATACACGCAAACTTCAATACGACAATTTCACTTTTATCCAATTGCCTTTTCAAGAACAAATGAGCACAACTAACTTGACTAGTAGACAGCAATATCTCTGAGAAGTAATCGTGAAACTGTTCCTTGAATAGCTGTGGTAGTTTGAGAGTGGAATCCTGACTGGCTAATTCTCTGTGTGCCAGCTTCAGTCCCAGCAGGTGTCTGTCTACTCCCTCCATTTTCATCACTTCCCTCGTGTACTCAGAGTGGGCTCTGATAGCATCTAGAAGAAGCAGAGGCAGCGAAGGGTCCTAAGAAAAGGATAAGTGACTCAACTAGACTGGTGCTCGTTGCCTGTGGGTGAGGCACAATTCTGTCCACAAAAATTCCATATCGTTCTGACACAGAGGCACAACAGCTTGATTTTGCACAGATGACCTTTTTCTTGCTGATACTTAATGGAGTAATTTATCAGCTTTTTATTGGGACTATATGTACAATTTTGACCCCTCAAATGGACCAAGTGAACTATCTCCGCCTCCAAACTCTAATTCGAACTAAAATTTAGAATCATACTAAATTTCGTTTAAAATACTAATTTTCGTTTCAAAAGCTGATTTTTTTTGAAGCAAACAACTAACAGAAAGTCAGTAAACGCAAGTGAACAGAAAAAATCCTGATTTAATTTTCGGACGTCAAACAAAAAATACTAAATGGCCTTAAAGCTCTTTGCATTTCTAAAACAAATTACCATTGACGCTTTTTGATTAAATTATCCCAATTTGAGAAAACTGGAACCAAAGGTAAAATGTTTATATCGCTAGGAAATCTGATAATTATATTCAATTGACCTAATTAGAAGTCGATCATGTTTTTCGTGACCTTTACACTTTTGCTTTTCGATACTGGAGTTCGCCTTCCTTTTAACAATGGAAGAGCACTGTGCTTAAAAAGAAATCAAAAGCCAAACGCGAACAATCAAAATTGAGCGTGAACAAACTTCCTTCTCTTACCTGAAAAAAAATAGACAAAAAGAGACCTATATACTAGTCTTCACTACGTTCATTACTCTCAAAAACATAATTTCGGCTGATCGAATTTATACTGAATCAAATCTCCAATTCATTATCCAAAAATTCGCTTTTCCCAAATTGCATCAACATTTTTTTACAGTAACCACGTGATCTTTATCTCCTTATACCGGTTATATCCCAATACGAATCCATTTATTGATTTCAGACACCAAAACTTTCCAGTTTCAAGTTTCCTAGAAGCAATATCCTTGTTATTCTTTTGTTACGACCATATTTATGATACCTCTTCAAAATCTGAAGCACTCGAACTTTTACCGCAACCCTTGGTTTCCTTCAAAAAATAAAAGCTTAGAAAATCATTGATGTTTACTAAGTTATTAAATTGAGTTTTATAAACACGAAAAGATCTCGACAAAGATCAGACAGAGGCGTAAGGTAGCTACGCGCCACTTGCAATACCACATCAAAATAGCATTGCAAGCTTGTAAGCAGGAAAAGAAAGCCCAAAAAAATGAAAAGTAGAAAAAACCACAATTAAAAAAATGAAAATGTGTGGAAAGATTTTCTATTTGCGAAAAACAAGTCCCGGAAACACAATCGCAAAAATTTTGAACGATAAGTTATGTTATCAGACTTGTAACATTTTGTGCGATCCAGAAGGGAGCAAAAAACGCGTGTTTCCTTTGAAACGACCCACAGTTAGCCGATAACAGATAGGCCAAAATTATTTGGTCCGAACAAAAAAAAAGAAAAAAATACGAAATCAAGGCAAGTAAAATTACAAGTTGCGGAAGTAAAAGCAACTCCAATGAAAATTGCGTACACCGAAAAAGTGATGCTAAGATGTGGCAGCCCAAAACAACATAAGCAGAAAATAATAGGCCGACAGTTTTATTTGGAACAGATTCTCGTTTGAAAAAACAGATGGTCTGGTCAGATTCGGACCATGGACCTTTGCCATTCATTGTCTCCAGGCTAAGAGTGCCTGAAACGTTAAGAAATTTGATATAATTATGAGCTAAGGTACCACGAGGAGATCAGTTCAGTTGAGTCCTGTGACCAACGTTGTTAAAGTTTCGTTGAGTACAGTGACCAACGTTGATAACGGGGGAAAAGTCTAGTACCGGGTTGCAATACCCAGCTAACCGCAAGGTTAAAGATACAAAACTACGCTTACTGTATAGTCTAAAGTTGCAGCAGCCCTTGCGAATTGAAGTGCCTGAGGAGTTGCAGATCTGATAGTGTCTGTCCTTCCCCACCTGTAGTTCCTCAAAGATCCACTCTCGTAAGTTGGAACCAACAACTGCTCATCAGGATCCACGTTGTACTTGTCTTGCAGATATCTAACAAACATCAGATTGCTTTCTGTTATTTTACTATTGAAATATTCCCCAGTGGATATCAACCTCGTATATTTGGTCTTTCATTCAGACCCTGATTTTGAGCAGAAAAAATAACGAAGCGTTATTAATTTTTCCCATTTTCAGTTGTCCACCCGAAAACATATATAGAGACAAAGCTTCGCTTCGCAAATAATAGCGAGAGCACGACAAAAACGGCTCGATAAAGTGCAATAAAAAGTTTAAAAAAAGGCCTCGAGTTAGTAAAAGTTCGGCTACGTCTCAGATTCGATCTGTGACCTGGAGTCTCACGCATTAACCACTCCGACACAGAAACTTAAAAAATCAAAACCACTGACCAAAAACAAAGCAGAGAACAGATGCTATGTACTTGCCAATGCTACAGATCGTGATTATAGCAAAATTGCCACCAAATAAATGAACACTTTGATTTGCGAGGAAGGTAAGAAAAAAAGAAGGTTCGTACCAATACACTTCGCTCTTAAGTGAAATATTTAAAATTCAACACAATGAACTTCGCTCTTAAGTGTAATAAGTAAATTTCAACACAAAGCTGCAAATCGCTAAAATACGCATGACTGATTAAATAAGCTTTAAAAACGAAAGAAAACGTAAATATTTAGCCTTGAAAAAAAATCGCACACGATCTGAAGCTTCCGAGACATTTCACCAATAGACAACTGGAGCTTACTAACAAAAACGCAAAACGTTCCGCAAATGCTCCCATAGTAAATGGTATAGAAAGTTCTAAAGTTGTAAAGCAATGAAAGTCATGTTAAGCAGATATAACTTAAACTGTTTACACGACAACGCCAAACAAGTTGCATAAAAGTGTAAATGAACAAGTTACATTGCAGGAAACTGGGCAGGTAAATGGTAAATGGTCACAAACTCACCATACTTCCTCAAATAAAATCAACAGGCCTCAAAAAAGATTTAATTTTTTTAAGTTGCCCCAAATTGGCCAAAATGGCAATTTTTAAACCCCCATAATTTCACGAAAAATGATCATAGGTGAAATATTTTTCCAATTTAAGCTCAAGACAACAACACTTTTTGAATGATATATAAAAATCCTGTCAAAAATGGCTAATTAAATAGTCGAAACTTGTCTGAAGAAGAAAAACCACACCGAGCACAAACATTCCGTTACTTTCGTTACGAAAGTCGGAACAATAATAGTCTGTGTTAAAATCATCAGCATTGGCTGTAGTTAAAAGTTGGTTATTGGAAATGAACACTTTCAAAATGAACACTTTTTGCGACTTAGGTTGGAAAAAAAGATAGTTCATACTATAACACAAGCATTGCTTGTGCAAATATGCGTATAAACAGCTTCGTTTTCCAAGTAGTATGGAAAATGGCATGCTAGTTTAACACCTGAATCTAAGCACAATCAAAAAAACTTTGATCAGAAAAAGATTCGCACTGGGAATCTCCTGAAGAAAAACTACTTTCTTTAACCACTGAACTTTGTGTCCAACCTGTATGAAAAATCAATTAGCATTGAATGCGCCTTGATTCCATTTGGCGAAAATGGAAGCTGATAAGAACTCTCTCTTCAAAATTTCATAATTTTTATTTTTCTTTTTATTACTAACTCATCGCAATCAATCCCACTGAATCCTAAATTGCATTTGTCTTTTTTGTTCCAGAGCACTAGCTTCTTAGAAAGAAAATGGTATTTCTCTTAACTTGATCTACAAACAAGATTTTTACAAACCAGTTTTCTGTGGAGCTAAGTGACCAACAAATAAGGGTAAGGCTATGTTACTATGTGAGCAAGTGCATGAACCTATCCGAACAAAAATAGATATAAATGCATGCAGACATTGAGTATGAGATACTTTCCTCTTCAAACATCGCATTACATCCGCTGATCCAGATGCGAAGCTTAACTTCTCAAACAAGAAAAAACGAAAAAAGCAGCTTTAGAAATGTCAAAAAAGAGAACTACGGGAAAAAATGAAATCTTGCACTAGAAAAAATGACCTCTCTGGGAATTGAACCTGTCCTCTAGAACTCAAATTTTTCAGTTGACTGCCCAACACAATTGTGACAACTGACGGCTATAAAAACCAAATACACAAGAAAAAGCGACAAACAGCAGCTTCGAAATGCACAAAAAGACAAAATTTGCATGTAATAATTTGGATGTGATAAACTAAAGGCAACCAAACTAACTTTGCATGTAATAAATTAGGAATTATAGAGCCAATTTGCGTATAAATCATGCTTTTCGAAAATTTCGCGAAAAATACTGAATTGGAAAATTTCTAAAAAGTAGTTTTTATGATTGCTCTGTTTTCTGGAGCTATTGTCTTTTTTTTCGGTTCAATTGATGAATTAAAAATGTTGAGTTAATTTAATAGTAATCAAATGTCAAAACACATTTGATTATTATTAAATCGCGAATTCAGCCTTCTGCTTAAAAAGTGCCACCAAAAGTACTAACAACATTTGGAAAATTGTCCCACTTGAAGCGAAAGCGGTAAAAAAGCGTCCGAGCAAGGAGTATAAGCAAAAGCGATCACGAATTTTCTAAAGCATTAACAAAAGCGGAAAACCGGTTGGATTTTTTAAACACAAAAAATTTTATCTAAAAAGATCGCATGTAAATTTTTTGGTCTGAACAAAAAATCCCATGCATATAAATTCCGTTAAATAATATCCCATGCATTTAAATAAAGTCGGAACAATGTCTATAGTTAGTTTTTCCATTGTAAGAAAACTTTCATAGAAAAACATACGAAAGTATTAAGCGAATAAGCGGTGCATTTGGATAAGAAAAAAAAACGATTTTTGAAAAAGAGTCGATAGCGAAAAGCGATTGTAAAAAGCGATGATAATGCTCTGTTTGCTATATAGCTTGGAAAAATAGTAACATTGAAGTATCACACTACGCAGCGCTTGTGAAATAAAAAAAGTCAATCAATTGTCTAGAAAACCCATGAAATTGAGTTAACATTCTCAGCATTCATTTTTCGCTGGAAATCCTAAACTTCACGATTCGGAGTTTCAAGTCTCGTAGTCCCGAAATTTGTCAGTCAATGCAGGGTCTAAAAATATACCATAATGCGACATGGCTATTAGAATAAGCACTTAAGTGTTTCTAACCTGAACATGGCGAGTTGCAGTGACACTTGGAAGAATGCATCAGGACTGAATTGGAACTGTTTGATGGTATTCTTGCCGAACGAGTCAAATACACACACCTTCAGATCGAGACCACCGATGAGCCTATAAAAATCAACAGTTAGAGAACAAACATTTCAGGAACGTTTGAAAGTTAATCAAACTTCAGGCGATGAGCATCCTAAGGATTACCCGCACGTCGCACTGAATGTGAAATTTAGTGGAAACTACTAAAACTGTTCAGCCTCAAATAAATTCAGTTGCCTGAATCGTTTGTTCCATTTATGTTTGTCTTGAAGTATCTTCTGTCTTGAGTCGTTTTCAGTCTGTCTTCGGTCGTTTTGTGTCGTTTTAAGTATCTCTTGCTTCTGATACGAAAAAAGACTAAATATTCATGCTCATTCGTACAATTCAGAATATATACTAACTGATCCAGATGTTGCTTAGCTGTTTCCACCGCACTGGATATGTCTGGAATGACATCAGTGTTGAATTGGAGGCGAGTCACAAGTGCAGAACATTCTTCAGCATCGACTGCAACTGACGCACTCAGACGAACGTCTTTTCTAAAGCATTCAAGTTAGTTCTACTCATGGATTTCGCATTACAATAACTCATTTAATTGGAAACATGTAACCAACAATTAACAAAAAAATGTGAAAACAATTGAGAGGAAGCAAAAAGCGGACAATGGACACAAAATCTTTTGAGTTTAATAAGTTATGAAGCTGAAAACGATAGCCGAAATTCATTTTCAAATTCTTTAGTCAGTTCAAATCAACAAACTTACATAAAGTACTGTTGAACAAGAAATTATACAGAAGGTTGAAAAACAAGGATAATTTTAAAAATGGAAAACCCTTGAGCAATTTGTACGGAGCTTCTCACCACTTGCGATACAAACAACCAAAAAAAAGTCAAAAAAAAACAAGGTGAACCACAACTTTCGATAAAAAAAAACTTGGGACCCAGCTTAAGCTGCAGGTACCTGTTTGATAATTTTTGAATTTATAATGATGATGGATGACATACCTAATTTCAAAAAATGGACTTTGCCTAAAACCTAAGTTGTTTTTCTACCGAAATAAGTGGGAAGAATGAAAAATTTAGAGAAATTGGAACTTTCCCGAGGACATAACATTTTTTATTACAAAAATTAAAGAGTCGACGCTTCTGCAGAAAAAATCTCGCTACCAGTTTTTTCAATTCAACCCTTCATCTCAGATTTGATAGAGTAATTTTCAAGAAAATTCAAAAAGTTTCTACAAAAACGGTCATTAAGCCAAAAACTTGAATTTTGCGATGGCTATAACTGTTGGTACCAAAACATTAGGTGAGCTTCCCACATCCCGTTTTTTATATGAGAAAAGTCAACAACCTTCTAAAATTGGTCAAAAATCAAAAAATAACTTTTCCAATAGCCATAAATTTGCTTATCCAGGGGAAATTTATACAAACCGTTCTTTCGATTGAGCCCAAAATCTTAGATTTGGAAGAGCAGTTTTAGAGTTTGAAAAAAAAACTGTCATTTAAAAAATTTGGCGTAGCCGCGTATGCAAGGGAGCTTACCACACCCCCTTTATGTCGTTTGATCCCAAATTCTAAGATTACGGAGGGATACTGAGAAAATTTTTACGGAGAAAATACAAAAAAGAACATCACAAAACGATCAAAACATTTGATTTTCACGAGAGCCATAAATTTTTGTTTAAAAAAATTGAGCGTAGCAGTTTATGCAGGAGAACTTGCTTTTCATAAACTGTTCCTGTTCCATCGATTGAAACCAAATTCTGAGATTGGGGAGGGTAGTTTTTGAGAAAACCCTATTTCAAAAAAGCGTAAAAAATTAATCGTAGCCATTTATGCAGGAGAGCTGGCTTTTCACACACTGAAATCGAAAAGTTTCAAAAACAGACAAAAAACTCTTTCTTCCGAGAACCAAAACTTAACTTATAAAAAAATTGCCTGCAGCCGCTTATGCAGGGAGCTTTTCACAAACCGTTTTTCGATTGAAATCAAAATCTTAAGATTTGAGAAATTATTTATCGAGAAAAGTCTGAAAAACCCGTCAAAAAATCTAAATTTCAATTTTTCCGAGTGCCAACATTTATTCCGCACAGAAACTTGGGCGTAGCTGCTCATACAGAGGCTCTTCACAATAGGTGTTCTTTCCACTGCACTAAAAATTTCAGATTTGGTAAAATAGTTTGAGAAAAGTTTGAAAAAAGTTCAAATGAAAACTGACTTCTTCGAGAGCGAGTAAAAAATTTGTATGTTCCTGCTTATGCAGGGAATCTCCACGCATCCTGATCTCTCCATGGAACCGAAATTTTCAGAATTAGTACGTCATTTGCAAGGGCCATAACTTTCGTGTGGAAAAAAAATTCGACGTGGCCGCCAATGTTAGGGAGCTTTTTACAGCCCCTGTTTTATATTGGATCTAAAATCTCATAATTCGCAGGCTAGTTTTTGAGAAAATGAAAAAACAAATCTAAATATTCGGGTCAAATACAGAGGTTTTCCTTCAAGGTATGGTAAAAAATCATAAAAAGCAGTTTTTGAGAGAAGTGAAAAAATTTTCTGAAGCATCTCACAAAAGGTCTCAAAGAATTTGGGGAGGAAATTTGTCTTCAGCTGTTTTTTTTCCTTGGAAAGTGGAAACATATATTAGAACGTGTCGAATGATATATAAAATAAAGCCCTTTCAGCCGTGATTCGAATATTAAAAATTTTTCAAAAAATTGTCCGTGTCGAGAAAACCCGATTTGGAATTTTTCATGAGGTTTTGCATAACTTCGAGCAAGTAAAGCTTTTTTGGGAAACTGTTTGTTTAAAGAAAAAAACTATATAGCGTTAAAGCTATTTGAACTTCATAAAAATTCAGGAGTGCCACTTTATTGATAACTTAGTTAATTACCCAAACTCAGCACAGCCAACAGAAACAGACAGTTGGAAGAGTCAAGGAACGCCAGTACAAAGAAAAAAATTGATGGCCTTAAGGCTCTTTGAATTGCCAAAACAATTTATGACTGACACTCTTTTTAATACAATGAACCCAATTTGAGACAACTGAACCAATAAGTGAATTTTTTTATTTCGTAGGGAAATCTGAGATTTAAATCCATTTTCAAAAATAGAAAAAAAAATCAACACGGCCTATATTGGATGGTCTTTTTTCCTTCTCATCTCGCATATACGCGTCAATTGTATGGTGAAACGAGCGGTTTAAAAAGATCAAATGAGAAGTTCGATTACGTTTGGCATTGCCTAATTCGCATGTCAGTTTTTATAGGTATCCGCACGTGAGCCGGATTATGAAGTGAATGAGATCATGAAGCACATTATGCAGATGATATCATATATCAGTCAACATTGATCATCATCACTTACGCGTACTCTCTCATTAGGGCAGTGTAAAGACTGGAAATGGTGCCTTCTGCGCCACTGTGCTCGATTAGTACGTTCAAATAATCACTCATACCAACGATCACCTACACAAAACAGGTTTGATTGGTTCTCCGAAATTACAACTCACTTTAGATTTGAGAAGTGATGAGACAATGATGAGTCATGGATCTCGGTGGGCGCAATTGCCTCAGCTGTGCTATGCTCTTGAGTCGCACCAAAGGTTCCCGACATGCTTACGATTACCTTAAAACACCTCATTTTTTATTTAAAGCCATACAAATTACAAAGAACGCCAAATTCACTCAAATCAACACTGAATGTTTCGAACAACAATTTTTTTAAATCAAAAAAATGAACCATCATATGGTTTGATTTTTGCTTCGTCCTGGTTAAAAAGCCTTCAATTGTCAAGTTGCAATTGTGCCTACACACTGTCAACCAAAACCATTTATTTTGACTTGTCAGGGGAGCGGCGGTTACGTCTTCGCCTCTCAAGCGAAACGTCGGAGGTTCGAGGCACACCAAGATCCGTGCTCATTGCTTGAGTGTAAGGCAAACCAAGCCCAGAAAAATAGCCAAAAAATTGCATGTTATTATGAAAATAGGGAAAGAGCAACGGTTCTCCGTGTACAGCTGCTTAAAAAATGAAAACACAGAGAATTATTCGTTTTTAACTAATTATTTACTTCTAGCAAAGCCAATTGATGTGTGAGAGTAATATGGTCTTTCTTGTTTGAGACTATTTGAAATCATTTTATGACTAAAATGAATAAAAATGGGCCAAGAACAGATCACTGAGATACAATAAAAATACTACTTTAAGTTCGATCTTAAAAAGTTTGTCTCGACGTACTGATAACAAAAGTCAAGGCAAGATTCCAAAAGTTTTAGCAGAGATCCTCTGAATCCTGTAAGTTCTAAATTTATTAGCCAGTCAGAGTGATCAACCATATCAAAATTTTGTTGAAATTTAAAAGTATTTTGAAAATTTAGTTTTTTGTTCGTTAACAAGTTGAACCATCTTCTAACAGTGTAATGATAGCTTCAACCGTGCTCCTTTTGGATTTGAAACCAAACTGAGTGTTTCGAGATATATTAAATTTGCCTACATATGATTGAGCTTGCTCAAAATTGTTTTCCAGAACTGTAGAAGTGAAATTGGTCTGTCAATTTTTTCTATCTGAAAATTGGTGCACATTTTTCATATGATATCACTAAATAATTGTTTATAAAAGTTATGTGGAACCAATCATTCGTAGAGTTTTCGTTTATGCAATCACTTACATTACAAATCGTTAAAACTGGCAAGGAAAATCTGAGGGCTAATTAGAACAATTAGAACGCAGGACTGTATTATTCCATGAAAAAATATATATGGCTAGAGAAACTTTAGCTTACGATATGTTGAAATTAGCCGGGAAAAATTGTTTGTCAAGAAAGCCAAGTTGATTCATTGAGATATGTCATAACTGAGCAAATGTTAAGCACGATAAATACAAAAAGAAAAAAATCAAAGTTAGCAATAAGTAGAAATAAAACCAAGAGGGTCGATTAGACCTAAAATCGAAAAATGTTACATATTGTTTTAAATTATTTTCCCACCTGGGTCGTTTTTTTTTGAAAGTGGCTTTCAATAACGCTACTCGGAAAACTGAATGAGTAAAACTTTGAGTCTACAAAACTACTTAGAGGACGCAAGCCAATTATGACGCATTAGCAGTACCAGTTAGTGAAAAAAAATATTTACCAACCTTCTTGAGCGGACGCATTTTCACTAGAATAGGAAAAAGTTCATTAAAAACATCCTACCCTGCCCAGGTTCGAACCCTCTTAATTTAATGCGGGTCTCCTTCCCTACCTTACGCTACAGATCCATGATACCTTGAAGCTAAAGTGCTATTTGTAATATAATAATTTGTGTTATTATCCTTAGGTTTGGTTGTACTTAATAGCTGGTTATTGATCAAAACGAACACTTTCAAAAAGAACACATTTTGTTGCAACAATAATTGCGTCGCAACAATATTTGCGACTTAGGTTGGAAAAAAAAGATAAAGTTCATACTATAACACAAGCTTTGCTTGTGTAATGAACATATAGACTTTGTTTTTGTCTGTTTCTAGGTTACGGATAGAAAAAAACTACCCGAGAAAACGAAAAAACATCTAATTTTTTTAAGAAAAGGGTTCAAAGGTATAAAGAGGAGTACGTATAATAAAAAGTTAACAATAGAACAATCCATTGGTTCTAAGGAGTAAATTTATTTTCTTTTTCTCCTATTAATGACACAGCTGAAAACGGGCCGTGCAGGCTTAATGGTGTTCTTCTCTCATAAGGTTCAGATTTTTTCTATTATTTCAGTAAATATTTAATTATTATGATGATTATTATAAATGTATTATTAAGAGCTGAAAAACTCGAATATTGGTACTTTCCCTTTTGGATAAATCGTGTCAACTTAAAATGAAAAAACCGCATAGCCAAATGACAGTTGTGTCGGTGAGCTCAAAAAGACAGAAAAGCTTCCATTTTTCGCGTTTCAAAAGGAAAAAACATATAGCCTAACAGATCTTTAAGTTTCAGCTCTTAGATTGTCACTTTTTGATTTAACTAAGTCAATTTGAGAAAACTCTTTCAAAAAACAACTTCTAGGAAATCTAAAAACTAAAATACACTTTAGAAAGTAAATGTCATCAAATTTTTGCGCCATTGAAATTGAGCCAGCGCGTGAGTTGCCTTTCGCATGCCTTATGATTTTTTAGTTCAATTCAAATTCATTTGCTATAAGCAAAGGATTAATTTGAAATGGACTAACAAATCATTAGTCAATTCACGAAAAATCACATTTTGGGCGTAAAAATGAAGAAAAAGGCAAAACCACACAGCCAAAATAATTTAAAAATACATATCAACTTCATTTTTGGTACGTCAGAACTATCGAAAAAACTTCTATGCTCACGGAATCTGGACAAAGAGCACGAAATATAGCAAAAATTACAGAAGTACTAACTTGAATTGTCTTGTCAAACCATCTATTACACGAGTGCTTGTTCGATCCCCCTCCGTGAAGCGAAAACCCACTTAACTCCGACAACTTCTCTCTACTTTCAGTCACATCAATAGTTCTAGTGTTCGATGACTCATTTTCAGGAGGGTCATAGTCCAAACAGAGCATGAAAATACTGGATTCGATCGTACGGAGAACTTCTCGGTTGTGGGGATCTAAATCGAATCAGGTAAACTTTTAACGGTGAGCACCTTCGCCATAAGTTTTTATGGCTTATATGAAACAAATAGATGAATCCACATAACAAAGAAACAAGAGGATCCGGTTGCTAAGCCTATAGTTATAGAATATTCCGAACACGTAATTTAGAGAATAAAAAGAAAAAATGATAAATTACAAAAAGATATAATTCATTTACAAAAAGGGATAACTTATTAGATTTTTTTATGACTTAAAAGGCTTTGATATGATATTTCAATAATTCATATCTGAATTTATTCTTTGGCAGCAAAACTTGCGATGAAAAAAAACAAAATTGGTCATTTTTCCTAGACAAAAACACAAACAGGCAAAATCTTTCTCTGCGAATTCATTCAATGCTGACCTGAGGCTAATTGTGTGTACTGGTCAGTCCACGTATCTCTATGTTGTGACGTCAGAATGCCAATGGGAACATCAGGCGTCTGCTCATTCATAGCTTCTGTCTTCGTCTCCGGTGGAAGACACGATGACATGTAAACTCCCATGAGTCGCTTGAAGATCTCATCCCCACTTAACAACTTCCTGTCTCTGTCCAGAATGTCAACAGAGTACATCTGAAAAACAAAAAATGTCCATCCTCTCTAGTCTAGTTAATAGATAATTCGAGTTTTTTTTTTTAATTTTCGTTGTTTTAATTAATTGTCTGTTAGCTTGTTTTATAGCAGAATGTCTCTCAGAACAAAAAGATCTGATCTTGCAGTGAAGCCAGACTGGTGCCTACGGACCTTAAAAAGAAGGTCAATGGTGCATTGCCTATTATAGCGCGTGATTGTTCCTTTAGGGTGAGGTAACATTACCGAGCCTAGAAACTAACCAAAAATTGCATTTATATCTTAACCAGGGACACAACAGCTTGTATGTAGGTCTTCCCTCACAAATTAATCGTCTCAACTTTAATTCGAACAATTTTCAAAAGTACAAACATTGACGACAAAACAGTCTTCGATTTGAATCAAGACTGCGTTAAGTTAATGCAACTATTTCCTGCACCTTGTATGCATATATTTAAGTAATAAGTACATACGATCTACATAACAATCGCCCTCCCTATGAAATCTACTAAAGAATTGCCACCCCTATAAATTGAAGCAGTAAATTAGCACTAAAGCGTACTATCTAAAAATCGAATTTTGCTGCATTCTGATTGTTCGATTATTTGACTAACTTGACCTACTTAACAATTGCCCCCCTTCCCCTTATTTTATCACCTTATTCTGACACATGACAACGATATGTGTGGGTCCATTCGGGGCTCCATTGGGGTACACTACATAACCGTCCACTCCCTCTCTAGGCACTCTGCAAGCATTGAACAGTCTGTAGTACTGGATAAGACAGGGACCAACGCCATCGCCGGACTTCTCCGCTGTCTTTCGAAACGAGTCAACAAACTCCGGGCTGAAATGTAACGCTTGATATGAAACATTAGAAGGACATTAAGGTTTCATTTAGAGTTCAGCGAACTGATTAGTGTACTCTTCATCATGAGAGTAAAAATAACTATCTACAAACATAGCCAAATAAGAGTTAGAAAAGAGTAATGAACGCAAGGAAACTGAAAAAAAATGACTGGTTTTTTTTTAAAATCAACTTTCGGATTTCAAAGAAAAAATATATGCCCTCAAAGCTTGTTGAATTTCACAAACAATTTATGATTGGTGCTTTTAAGATAAAGTTAAACCAATTTGAGAAAACTGCATCAATGAATATAATTTATATTTCGCTGGGAAATCTGAAAATTAAAATCCACTTTCGAAACTAGAAGTCGATCAGGCTTTTCGTGCCCTTTATACTTTTGCTGTTCGATAGTGGAGTTTGCCTTCTTTTTAACAATGGAAATGCACTGAACTTAAAAAAATCATAAGTCAATCTTTTTCAAAACAAAACGCAGCTTTTGAAGTCTACTGTAACGCGTGTTATATGTGGGATAAATTGACCAGATGATAGCTATAACTGACCTCTGTATGTGTTGTATGGCCATGTGCTGTCCACACGCCAACTGAGTGGCACACTCTATCCAACTGTGCACATTGGGAAAGGGAGGAAGGCGGAATACAAAAGCGGGACTGACATTGATCACCACTGACTCTCTGAAGGACAAGTAGGCCGCATTCAGCCACCAGTCAGCCAGCTTATACATAACACAGTCCACGATTAAAATGAATATACGGTCAACTTCTTTCAGAGGCACAATTAGGAGGGGGAGTAGTTGTCCTCTCCGAGAAATCAACTTTCACCAACGAAAAATTCCCTTCTTCGGTACACTTTTTGGACAAACATTTTTCGCCAATAAATACTAATAAAATTGTTGAAAGAAAAAAGAAAGGAAAAGACAATTTTTGAGAAAACTTTCCAAAAAAGTGCCCAAAAGGCCATTTTGGCACGTTTCCTCAATAATCTGTCTGCCGCATATATAATTTTCATAACACGGCGAGTAGTATTATGTTGCATGATTTTATAAGCTGAACTCATTAACAGAGAACCCAGCATGAAACCTGCAATACAAACAAGAGGGAAATTTAAAATTGGAATATAACAGAGATTGGGGCTTAACCTTGGCGTTTAAGGTTTATCGAAAATTACATAAAAAGATGAAGTAATTGCGTTGAGCTGGAGCTCATGAAACATAGATAAACATCAAAAAGTTACCCAATTTGGTGATTTTTGGGCCCTTTCTTCCAGATATTTCTGACACTTCTGCACCACGGTGTCCGTGCTCGTCTCAGAAGCAATCTTAACAGATAAACGAAATAAATCACTAATTGATGTAATTATGCAAAAAAAGTTTCTGTTCGAAACTTGAATGCTACTGGCAAACAGTCAAATAAAAATTCGAGAATTCAATAAAATCAGCCTCAAGTAGTGAAAAATCATATTTTTGAGATATCGTTTGACTAGATCTTACTGTAACTTCGATGACCTTGCATATCAAAATTATCTGTGATTTCCATGTCTGTGTAATGAATTCTGATAAAAAACAAACAAAAATATTATTCCTTGCCTTTTTAGCCTTTTCCATCTGTTTGTGGTCCAAAATTGGTTGCAGTGTCCGCAAATATTTTGGCAGTGTTCGGTCCAGCGGAGGTACTGGCAGACTTCTACCGGAAAACATGTCATCTTGGTATTTTGAAACATGTGGTAGATACTGTAGCAACTTCTGCTCATCGTTCAGATCCAAAACGGGGTCCACCAAATTACCTATTGAGCCTGACAACGTTCTGGAAGCTGACTTTTCTCGCATGGCTGTCCAAATGAAATTATTACTTTGATGCAGAGCAAAATTTTTGGTTGATTTGATTGGCATTTCAAACCCCAAATTTGTCAAATGAGCATTCAGCCTGAAAAAAGCACAAAAAAAACACTTAAAAATTACTTCCAAATAACTATTTTTCGGTATATAAACGGTTCAATTCCACTTTTCATCGATACTTGCCTTCGAACTCTAAAAAATGGAAAAACATATCTACAGAGGCGAAGAGGAGCTTCCCATCTTTTTCGAAGAACACAAAACAGAAAAGCAGCTAGCCAAAATCCAAATCGGAAAAAATAAAACAATGCACAAAAAAACATCACTCATAGTTTTATCCAAAAAAACTCAATTCGACAAAACCCTGCCGAAAAAAAAAACTAAAAATATCATAATTAAATATGCAGCTTGAAAAAAATTATCGATTGGTAAAAATGCAGACAACTATCGTAGACGTCCGCTGAGCCGGGAAAATGGTCTCAAAAAAATTAAAAACTCGAATGACTTTTAAAGTTTCAAGTTTTATGTCCAGCGGGAAGCACAAATACACATTTAAAATTAGCTTCGCTCTTCAAACCACGTAAATTGAGATAACTAAATCGATCTAACAAGCCAAACAACTTAAGCTGAATAAACCTTCAACGAGAAAAAAACACAAGCAGAAATTATACAAAATCTTGGAGCACAGTTGCCTGCAACATTTAAAATTTTCGATATGATATTTTTCCAAGTTTAAAAAACTTAAATTTTTAAACGGCATGTTGAATGAAGTGAGCCAAAAACCAGGCAGATACACGATAGTCCAAAATGAAATTCTGAAAAACCGGAAAATTTTTTATCGATGAACTGAGTAAAGGTTTTCAACACAGGCGAAGCACAGCATCGCAACACTTCCGATACAATAAAAACACTGTATTACAAATGTTGAAAGAAAATTAATGTTGAAAAATTAAGCTGAAAAAAAAATTGACGAAAAAACTAGACCTACAAAAATTTGATATTTTTGGCCTGGATCATCTTCGTAAAAAACCTTTAAAATATTCAGAATCAATAAACGAGCGTCAACTAAGGCAAAAAAAGTTGAGTCAAGCCTATTGAAGCCATCCGAAAATAAAAACTGTAGTCATGAAAAAATTCAGGCTATACAATTTATAAAATCAATAAATTTAAGACCCATCCCCCTGAAAAAAAGCAAAAGCATTTAAAAACTTGCTTTTGAAGCTAGGCAACATGAATTGAAAAAGCCGATACAGAACAACTTTCAGTTATAGTTGAAAAAAGGGGCTCAGCGAAAGCTGGAGGTACCTGTTTGATATTTTTTAAGATTATATTTCACTGACTTATATTTGAAATGCGTTATCTTTTAAAATTTCGAAAACCCAAAACCTTAGTTGCTTTTCTTCTAAAATGAGTGATTAGCCGCGAGTGTAGGGAAGATACCTGTTACCCGTTCTTAAAAATGAATATAAATTAATTTGTGCAGGGTAGTGGACCTTTTCGCACCATGTTTTTGATCGAATCCGTGAGTGCGAAGCCATTTAAAAGGGGAAGATTCCCTTAACCTGTTATTTCGATTTAACTCAGATTTGTCAGGGAGTTTTCGAGAAGACTGAAAAACTTTGCAAAAATCGGAAACAAAACGGCGAAAACTTCAGAATGTGAAAACTCTAAGTCATGACAATTTTTCTTACAATAATTAAGGATCCAATGCTTCCGCAGCAAAAAAATTCACAACCGATTTAATCCTTAATCTCATATTTGGTACGGTAGTTTTTAAGGATTCAAAAAGAATCCAAAAAACGGTCACAAAAAAATCAGATTTGATTTTTTCTAGTATGAAAGCTTTTTTCTACAAAAATGAGGCGTTCCAGCTGATACAGCGAATACCCCCACAATTTGTTTTTTCGATTGAACCATTAATCTAAGAATTAGCAGGGTGCTATGTTTACTCAGTGACTCTCCAAAGGTCTTTGTTTCAATTATCCCATTAACATTCCGACCTCCTAAGGGTAGGGGGAGGCCCTTTTCATGGGTAGCTGATTCGTTCCAAGCATCTAAAATTTCGATCTGTGCTCTATTCCTTCTGTGACTACTTTTCTTTAGAGCACAGATCTAAATTTTAGATGCTTGGAACGAATCAGCTACCCATGAAAAGGGCCTCCCCCTACCCTTAGGAGGTCGGAATGTTAACGGGATAATTGAAACAAAGACCTTTGGAGAGCCACTGAGTAAACATAGCATGGTTTGGAGGTTGAGTTGAACTCGAGGGCTGAAGTCACTGAGGTCAGGAATTTGCTGATTAAAATTGTTTGACATTTCTTTGCTTGGTCAAATTGTGACACCTACCGCATACCGGGTATCTAATAAGCGTGAAACGATTGATAACAGAAACCGAAGTTGGCACGTGGCAGAGTTGACAGGGGGAGGGATATAGCCTTAAACATGTGCCTACAGGTGATTTAAGCGGATGTCGGGGCTGATAGGGAATGGCGTGACATAACTAAAACTAAAAGTAAAGAAAGATAAGGAATTGGAGGGTGCCGGAGAGCCCGCAAGAGAAGAGAACAGTGTTAGCTACTATTGAGAGTAGTTGGTTCTCAGTCAGAGAAGAGAGCAATTGATACTGAGAGAGAGAGAGTATAATTGGTTCTCTGTTAGTTAGAGAGAACAATTATTGCTAGTTAGTCAGGTAATTGGTTCTCGGAGTAAGAGACAAGTAGATAGTTAGATCTCATCAGAGATTCTCTAGAGAGAGAGAGAGAGAATAGTTTAGTGTTAGAGGAGTTAGTTGGAAGTTAATTGCAATTAAGTAATTTGGCCGATAAATCATGGACCCTTTGCTTTTGACTTGATTATTAGATTATATCCTGGCCACTCAGAGCCTTCTGTAATTGGACATATAATCATTTAAATTAATTTATCATTTGAAATTCTTGCAATTGTATCGAATAGCTGAGATAGACAGCCTGAAGAGCAATACACAGAAGGGCACGCAACATAATACAATAGAGAAAAGTTGTCACCAAAATAACCCTTTCGGGATTGTAGATAGTAGTGAATCTCGGTCGCCCCGCTGAATTCACTGCCCAAGGGACTACTTTGCGGTGTCGTTAGGAAAGAGAGAACGAACCTAGAGAAGAAATCCCCTAAATCTACAATTATTTCAAAATGAAAGTATTTTCTTGAAAGCTTCAGTCATCGTCTCAGCTAAAAATATTCTTTCAGAAAAAATCTCCAGAAAACAAACAACAGAAAACAATGTCCTTTAAGTTTTTCGGCAAAAACCAATTTTGATTAAATTCTTCATTTATCTTTGGTTTTCACTAATCTCGGTTGTCAACAGATTGAGGTAATTGAAGAGTTAAGTCTTCGCAGAACCAAATAAAAAAAAGGAAAATTAAATGTATTCGAAAAATCAAATGTATGAAGTACCTGTTATTAACAAAGATGGTAATTTAACAAAGATTATTAACAAAGAAGTAACTTAGTCTATGAGAGATTTCTGAATTAGAAATGCCCATTACTTAATTCAGACCACACGTCTTTTATTAAAGATATATTCACCCATAGTTATCCTGACAAAATTCGATAAAGCCGAGAGCCCTTCCTTGTTTTTATTATTTTTTAATTTGCCACTGACACTGGAAACCTTTCAACGAACCGGGGTTTCGAACCCAGGACCTTCGTGTTTGTGATATTGCTACTGCAATAGCAGTAAGGATGATGTAACCATAACCTTCAGTATTATAATTATTTTATTATTATAAGTGTCAAGGTCATTTAGATCTGAGACCTTTGGTACACAGCGGAGAGTTCAGACTACTTAATTGAGAACCGCTCTCAGTAGCTAAAAAACAAAGAGAAAAACTATTTATTCAAAGCCAAGAAAAAACATTCTTTGAATTACCAATTAGTTTTCCAACAAGATACCTCGTAAGATATCACATGGCGCAGCCAGCAGGATTCTCAGCTTAGGAAAATCGTACTGATATGGGAATACTAGTATTTTGGGTGACAGATAATCTAGACCAACCGTGGCAATTCAAGATTTGGTTAGAACAATTTCTAATGGCCGTGAAAGGTGAAAGAAAATGTCAACCCATAAATTATGCTACCCAAAAGACACGCTGGAAGAACCACCACCAAGACCAGAGACACCACGCGTAGGAGAAGATGAAGCTGCGATAACAGCCAGAAACCTCAGAGACAAGTTAGCATGAGATCGATTTATTCTGGAGAATGAGGAGAGAAGAACTCGTGGTCCAAGGGTTGGTCACAATGTTTATTATAATGGATAGAAGCTTGTATCCAGATTATTCCTCTCTCTAGGAACAGAAGGAAAGAAAAGCTTCTTACAGAAAACCCCACATGCTGAATTTTGCAAAATGTCATTCAAGGAAATCACGGAACTAGCATCGGCTTCATTCCAAAAGGTTAAATGTGGAACGTATGAAAGATACAAACTCTTTACAAGAATGCAAGAACCAGGGGAAATTTGGAAGCATTCCATGCGGCGCTAACTGCTTAGGCAGCACGGTCGGAGTTAGAAAACCTTCAAAATGAAATTTTTCAAGATTTATTTTTATCTAAAATGAAAAACATGACGTTGCAGGATACTTTAACTTTCGAAACACTTGAGCCCAAGGAAGTACTCAAGCGAGCCATAAAATTTGAACATATTAAATTGACCACAATGGCGTTTCAAATGACAAATGCAGCAACAGTGGCAGGAACGAGTATTAGTTACAATTTGGGAGTGAAGGTAAAACAAGAACCAGTGATGGCAGTACGAAATTGGAAGGGGAATACAAGAAAATAACAGCACAAGAGGAAAAACAATAAACGACCAAACAACACTAGACCTAATAATTCCGGTGGTCAAGCGAAACCATGCAATAGATCTGGGCGCGCATTTGATCAGGGACACCTGAAAACCAGCACGGCAATGGGAAAAACTTGCAAAAACTGCTGGAAACCCAACCATTTCGCGGGAAATCCAACCATTTCGCGGGAAACCCAACCAAAAAATTGACCTACTCAGAGGGACAACATCCAACAAAATAAAATCGCTCAAGACCATGGTACGA